CATGTTTCAACGTAATTAGATAAGTTGACACGTATTAAAGGATTTTAGAGATTAGAGTACAAGGTTTATAACATAACAAGGTTTTATAACATAAAAATTCCATGAAGTAATTCTTATTTTATATCGATTTGAATTTTAGATTCTGATGCAAATAAATAACTGAATTTTATTAGTTAGGTTAAAAAACACTATTTTATTAATAATTTATCATACAAAACATCTAGTGGGCAATAAATTGCAAGTTCAAAGGTTCTTCCCCATATATGACCCCTTTGCTTTAATTTGTTTAATACTGTTTCTTGTTATATTTACTTTCTTTACATTTTCATAAAACCATTTCTTTTTCCAAATTTTTAACAAATTTTGAAGCAACAATTTTAATTTATGATTTACGATATAGTTTTATCTAATTATCTCCTGTTTTAGATATAAAATTATCTACTCGAACACTTTTTAAACAAAATGTAAAAAAACTTGTGAATTTGTCAATCTAATACGTAACAATCATATGAAAGAATACAAATTCTGAAAATTTATGCTATCACAAAAACATTGTTACAATAATTTTTAAGACTCAAAATACTATTCGAAATAAAAATGAAATCCGGTACATTTTGCGTCTGCGATCAGAAAATTCTCATTCTGGAAATCGAGATACGGTGAGTAGAGATCATAAAATATCCAATCTTTTAAAAGGTCCAAAAGTGTATGAATAAAAGAAGCCTTTTGGACGATCGCGAAATACAAGCTGTTTTACATAATATCCCTAGCTCAAGGAATGATAAATTGTTGAAGATGAAGTTTCAACGAACACAAAAAATATACATCGTGTTCGCGGCGAAGCAAACATAAAAGAGCATGAATTCAGATTTTATTCAAAATATATTCCCATCGTTTCTGTCGATTAAAAAATAAAAAATATAGATAACAGATTAATAAGAAATATCTTTAAAAAAAAAATATTTTTTGATTTAACGATAAAAATAGTCAAAGTTAAGGATCACAGTGATTGCTAATAATCATAATGATTCAATTAAGGAAACATTTTATTTCTTTAATTAAATTGATTACACTCAGGAACTAATTTATCGGGGAAAGAAAAACTACTCGTTAATGATTTGCTACAGAGTTAACAATTTATTAGATAATAGTGTGATAAATATCTAAAAAGATACAATTTTTTGTCGTGTCATATAATTTCTGTATAACGTACATCGAAACATTTGAGCAATCGTGTATAATACAATGATAAACGATTCGATAAATTTCAACGCTGGGTTTAAACATTGTGCTACGAGAATTCCAATTTGAAAAATTCGACGAACGCTGATAATTTAAAAAATCTGCAAACAACCGTTTTGTAAAATGCTTGAAAAACATTTCCAACCAGAAACTTTCGAATGGAAACGGAGAAGAAAAATATAAAAAATATATTTCGATATTCTGTTTCACGATTTTCCTTAACATGCTGTTACAACAACAGTTTCGGGAAATTCAAATTGGAATCGAAATTATACAATTCTGTGAACCATTTGAACACCTAACGGAAATGAACAATGAATTTGTATGAAGTAATGGTCGATACATTGTATGCATTTATATTGTATTCAAGCGTGCAACATGCATTAAAGTTTCATCGATAACATTTGTAAAAAGAGGTATGCAAGGCGTTTAATTAAAAACGAAGCTAATCCTTCATTTTCTTCTCGTTTAATTATTTCATTACTTATTACGAAACACAAGTATTCATACATTTTCTACCAGAACTGATTTCATCGCAGACATCTAAAATATACAGAGTACAACAAGAATAAACAAATTCAATTTATATTGAATTGTATAACAAAATATAGATATGCAGAATTATACAATAACGATACAAATTTTAAACAATTACGTACATAGTCTTCGTTTTTATACACTCCTTTTTTCATACAATTGCTATTGATTTTTTTGTGAACAAAGGATCAGTGAGTATCAGAAGCATCACGTGTAAAAAGGTGAAATAGATCGAAAAACGTGATATGTAGACAGTAAAAGCAGATGTCCAAGAATCTGCGTTCAATTCTATCGAAATAAAACACACGATATATTTAATACTAATTGACCAAAATTTTTGGCACGTTTTAAATGTGTTCCAGACCATTTTTCTCTTAGCTTATCGTCTACGGCTATACTAGAAAACAATTTTAACGAGCATTAACGCTACTCGCCGTACAATCAGAGCCACGTGTACCAAATTATTCGAAAAAATTGTATCTTTCTTCGTATAAATTACACGAAGTTCTAATAACAATTCGAGATCGAATATTCTAATAATTTTCAAGACGAACTAGCAAGTTATTTGCTAACTTATTAATCTTTTAATAATCTACAAAATGTGAGGCTACAAAATTTCGTCTCCGATCAAATTTATGGTAATAATCAAGGAGAACGATTAATAATAATTTACTGTTTAAACGATAGAATATCTTTAAAAAATATTAACTCAGAAAAAGTCTGCACGAGTGAAATTTAAGATTCGCAGTGGTTCATGCAATTACGGACGATGTTATGTATAAAAATTTACATAACAGTACGCTCTTGTGCCCTATAAAAAGAGTTTATTCAAAAAGCAGGTGCCTTTGTTGAATGGCACGAGTATATTGCTGCAATAAAAAAATAAGTACACGTGACTGTGACTGACGTCACTACCATACATGTACATGTATTGTATGCGTCGATACAGTTTCATATAGATCAGATCTAATTGCTTAGATAAAGGCTAGAGGTCAATCTACGAGCTAATTTATATTTTCAGTTAACGACACATTTTATGCGATTGTTCAAAACTGTGTCTCGTTCATTCTACACGACCTTTTAGCTGAGATATAAATTAGCTCTAATAAACGTGTGAGTCACTGAGTATCACAAATATTTTCTTTCCTGAATTATTAGTATTGACTTAAAGGAGTATCTCGTGAAGAGTGATTACATTTAATAGGTAATTGAACTTCAAGTTCGAAGAAAATATCTAACCGCTTTACGATTATGAAACTCAGTTACTCCGTTCAAGAAAATGCCGCACGAACATTTACCTTTCTGCTTCTACCTGTTTCGTGAAAAATAGAACAGGTGAAAAAATAAAGGAGTAAGTCTGAGAATATACATTTAGCAAGTTTTGATTCTGACTTCCTTTCATTGATTCAATATAAATGCAAAAATCAGTTTAAAAGCTTTAATGTACAAATACACTGGTAAACTAAATATGTTATATGTGAATGGTATAAATGTATTTTTAAATGATTCAGAGTCAAAAAAACATTTTCTTGAAATGCACGTAATTGACCAATTTAAAGCATGTTGCTTGACACGCACATTATTAAATAACAGACTTCTCAACTTATATAGTATATATATTATACTAGAGTATAACTCCAACATAGTTTACATAGCTTGTTAAATGCACTCCTGTGTCTTAAGGCAATATTATTTTTGGTACTCTAATTTATGCCACTTTTGGCACATTTACCCTTATGTCATAAAATATGCCTGCCATTTTTTGCTACTTTACACATGTACGTACATACAATAAAATTTATCTGGTAGACAGAAAACTTTATAATTATAACAATGTTTGCTTCTGTATACATAAGTCATTGTTTAAAATACTAGAATTGAGATTACTGATTGTAAAGAATAATGTCAGTTATACAGATTGAATGTAAGAGTTAATAAAATTATTGTTGAAGTGAAAATGGTTTTGTAAGCACTAATATATTTCATCTATGTATAAGGTAATTATTCTAATGCAATTTGCATAATATTTAGTAGATGAAAAGTACGATCTTTATGGCAATTAAATACTATTAGAAACATATTTAAGCTTTCATTTATCCAAAAGTTTGACTTTTCTTTACTCATTAATTTAATTTAACTGCATGAAACATAGAAGTCTACTAATGAATTACGCTGAATAAAGATTATAATACATATATGTACTTTTTAAAAATCATCATCATAAAATTTAATCAATAAAACTTCTTTTAAACAGATATTATCATAATGTCACTCAGTATATTACTATTATAGATAAGTACATATTCAGCTGTTATATGTATATTAACCCATACAATAGGGCAACAGAAAATTATTTATGTACTCTATTTGGTACTGTAATCATATATTCTACATAAATGAAATATTTGAAAATGTTATTTGAATCTAGATTTAATTAATCAGTGATGATTATTTGAGCACTAAAATTATTCTGATTTTTATATAATTTTAAAATAACTTCTCAATATATTTGAAGAAACTTCTAAATTACTGGTAAATAAAAATTATAAATAATTTATTTCTGTACTGAACTTATTTCTCATTAAACCTTACTTGCCCTCCCATTTCATGTGGACATACAAGCATATAGATTGGCCCCAAATATCGCACTTATGGAGGAAGTCAAATAAATTATTTATTAATTATATCTGTTGATCCCTATTTATGCTATTCATGAACCAAGTATGTACCAAAATTGAAAAATAAATCATACCAATAGCGAAACCAGATTAATAATGATAAATATATTGTTCTGCAAGTAAGATCAATTAGCTGTTTTCAAATAGAGACAAAAATAATTTACAAAATTACTGTCACATGTTTTGTTATCTATTAAATTTGCAATCCTTATAATATAATGTGACGAAACCTTGAAAAATATAATAGCATTAGTTGCCTTTAGACTGTAGGAAAATCTATATTTAAAGTTATAATGATTTTATTGCTATTAAACTAAATATTTTTTGCAAATATGTAACTTATGGTTATTATTGCATTATAAAATAAACTAAGTCTGACTACTAAATTATTGCAATTAAAAGCATTTAAAATTAAGGAAGCTTTTTGTATTAAGTAAGAAAGTAAAAAAAATTGTTCTTTAATCAAGATTACTAATACCTATTTCTTCTTTTAACAAGATTAATATTTGTTAATAAATTTTTAATCTCTTTAATTTATGTAACTGCAAATCATTACTGATTGCAAAATATTTTAAGAACTACAAAAATAAATTAATGATACATAAAAAAAATTATGAAGCATTCTGGTTTTATTTTAACTGTGGATTTTTGTTCTGTCCTACTATTTTATTACGCAGCAAATTAAAATGACCATGCACCTGAATTAATTGCGCTTTGAGAGATTCTGAAAGTTGCTTTTGTAATTGTTGAACCTCCAATATTTCTTCACGAAGAGTTTGATAATCTTTTGTAACTTGATGAACAGACCGTAACAGACGAATCACAGAAATCTGTTAAAAGTAAAACAAAAAACAACATAAAACTAAGAATCCAAAGGATGTCATCAGAAGGATGTAAGAAACATAAATTCACCAAATAAATAAACTTATAATTTTTCTTTTTTACAAATAAATATTTGACATTTAAATAATCAACACTGAGAAATAATAATAGTAACTAATATTCTCAATTAAATTGCTTTAAATGAATGAAACACAAAGAATGTTTATTTACATTTTACTTCCGAGTAACGTTTTAATCAAAACATACCTCATTCTCTGGATCTTCAAATTCTTTTTCAAAAGCGTCAATTTGCCAAGCAATCATATCTAATTTTCCGTCCGCCTTTTGAACCTGTAACATTAAAAAATTTAAAAATTATTAAATATTATCCGTCAAAGAATAGCGTTTGACATTTAAAAATTAACCAAGTATGAAATTCGCTAAGATTATGAATGGGTATTTGTCATATAAATTTTGAAAATAATTTAAAAATAATACTTACACTTTGTTCAAGATGCCCAATTGCTGATTCCATGTCAATTGTTATAAATAATAATAGATTATTTTAAACGAAAAAGCAGTTGCTGGTAGAACGCTCACGCGAAGCCGACGGTTACTTTCACGCGCTAGAATCGATATGCGCTTACTGAGAAGTTTGAAAAGCAGACAGGAGATTTATTTAAATATTTCGACACTTGGTGGCAGCACCTTACCTGTCATTTTTAATATCATTTACGGCTGCGTAGAAACTGTTTTACCAGCTGTGCTTGAATGCGGCCGATAAAAAATGTGATTGAATAACATACATGAAAGTAACTGCACAGTTAATATTTTTATCTTTTCTTTAAATGTTAATTAATAATAAATTTCATTTCCATTGAAATTTTATAACAAAGAAATTGATTTTTGAAATGAATTACCAAAAATGAAAGTTAGAAAATCGCGCCAAATAAAATTATCCTATTCCACGAACAAAGGAATTAGCTAGACGAAATTTCGTTCTTATTGCGCATGTTGCGCATCTATAATAATGTATGAGCGCAGTTAAAATGATCCTAATACCAAATGGATATATACCCAGCAGACAGAAAATTTCATGATTCTACGTTCTTAAAGCCTTTTGAAACAATATTAATTTATCAATTTAATTTTATTAATTCTCACCTCCTACTGCTAAATATAAAAGAAGATATTTTGTACAATGAGTGTAATATACTACTATAAAAATTATATAAAAAATATAAAACTCTTTATCCACTGTATATATTTCTAACATCATGACTGCTATAAAAAGCGCATGCGTGTTACCATAGATCATAAAACACGTAGAACTAAACTCAATTTAATGTGCGCAGAGAAAATGCAAACTCGTGCAATTACGAGTGTTTCGAATAGAATAGATATAATGTATCCAACTTTTAAACATTGTAGCGACTGGTGAAAACGTCGCCATTTTCCCCCAAGCCAATCGGTCCCCAGTATATCTACGAATGTCGAAGCGTAAGGCGATATAATTCGGCTTTGTAACAGTTTTGATATAAAAATTGTTAAGCGCGAAGTATACTAAAAGATGGCCAGTCAAAACTATTTAAGTGATCCAAAAAATCCATTTTTTTCTCTCGAAGATGATATCGACGATGAAACATTTCTAAATAGTGCACCTCCAAGGTCCTCTGGTCATAGTTTCAATCATTATAATAATTTTGATAATGATCTGGAACAAAAGCATCAACAATTACTTCAAAGGAAGAAGGAGATAGAAGAACGGACAATACATTCGTCAGAAAGATCTATTTCGCTGCTCAGAGATTCCGAACAGATTGGAGCTGCCACTGCTGAGGTAATTTCAAAAATCACTATTTAATTGCGATAATAACTACCAATTAAAGTAATCTTTTGTTATGTGTCATATTTTAATACATTTCTTGGAATAGGACACCAGCTAAATTAAAGTTGTTTTCATTTACTTTTGGTGAATAATGAAATGTTTTTATAAAACTTGTCTGAGCATACTGAGCAATTCAACTGTATTAATGGAACTGTTTTATAAATGTTTATATATAAATATTAATGATCTTATTTCAGGAACTGATTAGACAAAGAGAGCAATTAGAAAGAACAGAAAAGAGATTGGACGATATCAATAGTACATTAAGATTTAGTCAGAAACATATTCAAGGAATAAAAAGCGTATTTGGAAGCCTTAAAAACTACCTTAGTGGTAAATCGTTGGATGCGCCTATACCATCTACTATATTATCAGAATCTTCTAGCTCTGAATCTATGGCATCACCTGCTTTATCTAATTCTTTGGAACAAGTACAGACTAATATAGCTAGTACAAGTCCTATGTTAAAGTTACGTGGCCTGGATGATGAATACGAAGGTACTAATTCACCCAGTAGTAATGTAAGCAAGATTTTAGAAAAGAATTTAGATGAAATGAGTGGTTCATTAGCTAGATTGAAAGGCTTAGCGATAGGATTATCAGAAGAAATAGATTTACAAAATGATTTAATTGATAATATAACAGATAAAGCAGAAAAAACAGATATAATGTTACAAAAACAAAACAAAGATCTTACTCATTTATTAAAAAAATAAATAATGTATCCTATTACACATGTAATGAAAAAATGATAAATTTCACATATTTTAAAGCTGTAAAGTTCTGTGTAATTATATAGAAAACATTACTGTCCTTAGTTAAGTCTGGAAGATATTACGTTATAATGTTTATTTTTGAAACTTGTTATTTAATATTTTGTAAAATATTATTTACAGAAATGTAAAATATCACAACAAAAAACACAAAAGAAATAATGCACTTGTATATTCATTCAGAAATCCATTTCTTTTGTATCTGTTGTGTATGCTATACAATATTTAAATTTAAAGTTACAGACATCATATAAACTTTTTTGTTACTTGTTACTTTTGTTACATATTTCTTTCTTCTGAAAATTACTGAATTAAAATTTTGACTATATTTTTCTATTGAAATTAAAATTAAGCTTTTTATTTATTAATAAGTGAACTCAGAATTATAAAAAGATACTGTGATAAAAGTGCAGACATTAACAAATAAGTAATATTGGTATTTTATGACAGTTCAATGTCATTATTGAATTTTAATAAAGTTACTGAAAACCTGAAAATTACTCTGAATAACATTTAAATTGGAAAGACTTCATATAAAAGTAGAATTTTAAAGACATTATTTATATTTTTAAAAAATATAGTTTGTTTTAATCATAATGAATAACATTTACATTATAGGAATATATACATATATATGTATATATAATTTTAAAAACGATGTTCTCTTTATTTAAAATTACTTAATTATAATGATCTATCTTGATACTTTTGCTATACATTTTATATTGTCGCATTAAGATATATTATAATAGATCAATTTATTTTATAAATATTTTGATGTTAAAATATGTAGATATATTTAATAAAGCAAATTTTGTATGTAAGAGTATTAGAGATAATATATACTTGTTTTAATTGAAGTTAATGCTATTATACATACAAACATACTTGATTTGGCCTATACATATCTTTCCTTTTAGGTAATTAGTTGTAATAAGAAATGTACAAACATTTACACAGATTATAATTGTTATTTATGAAACACTCTTACTATTTCCATTATGAATTAAATGATCTGCAATACATAGTTATAAGATAGTAACATAAATTTTGATAATAATGTAAACATAAACACAAGATATATTATAACTTTAAAAATATAAATACATACATATACAACCAACAAAGGAGTTCCATTTAAACATTTACTATTTATTCGGTATATAGATGGAACTTGATGGTTTTAAAAGTAATGTTTGTTTGTGTGTAGTACACAGTGGGACAATAGTGTATATTTTTGGATATTTTGTTATCTTTTGAAAGACTAATTATATCGTTATTAAAATTGGTGGAAATGTTAAATAAAATACAACACTGGAAATTCTATAACTTACAGTAAGAAAAAGATTTACCAAACTTTGTTATAGAAAATTTTAAGTTATAGGAAAATTAAATTAATTGATTTACTTTATTATATAAGTTTAAACATCTTTTTACTAAAAAATTCATGTATTTTTATTTGTTGGATTTAACTAAAACCAAAAAAATTATTCATGTCAAAAGATAAATCTTTTTATTGAAAAAAGTAAGTAACTTCTAAAATATCAGTTTGATATAAAAATAATTGTAGTTTCTAATTATCAACTTTGAAGCAACATATTTAAGTTCAACAAACATTCATTGAAAAGAGTTATTTTACACAAAATCACTTTCTATTGTGAATATAAAAATTTATATTCAAAGTAAAATATTATGTAGTGTATGAGATAAATAAACATTTTTTGTGGAAGTACTATGAATATTTTTGTTGACAAAATAATTCAGATTATACAATACATATTAATTGTTAAAAATTAAAATTTTAAGGAGCAATAGAATTTTTCGTTGTAATTTATCTTTTCTAAGAAAATCGTCCTACTGTGCACAGTTATCTAGGCCAATTAGTGCAGGTTTAGAAAAAAGACAAAATAAAAAATAATTTTTATGGCTGGTAACATAAAAATTTGTTTTTTGAATGATCAACACCTTAACAGTTCATCCTCAATCCACATAATCATAAACGTATAGTTATTGAACAATACTATTTTATATATTTAGCAAATGTAATGTAACTGTTAGAGTTAAGTTACTCGTAAAGATAAAGTATATGGTAATTATAAGTAATTCAATACACTGCCATTGTTATTCAACATAATACATGTGTATGTTACAGTTGTCGAAGTATAAATATACTGAAACATTTCATGATACGAATCTTTACACATATACTTTATATATTAATGTTAACAATGTTAAATTTAAAATAGATTTTGATGTATGTACAAATGTATCAGGTTTATATATAATTGTCTCATAAAGGTACTGAAAATTATAAAACTGATTCATATTTATAATAATGCTTTATTTTTATTTAATAATACAATTGGCCTAATATAATATTTTTAATAACATAATCCTGTTTTGCTTGATTTGTTTATTTCTTGTTATCCTTTTATTAAAATATTATGGTTGTGCAGTAGTAGTCGTAGTAGTTGTTTCTGTAAATAAGTAGAATTATTAAATTGCATAATACTAAAATAGTACTTTAAAAGAAAATTTCAAAAATATAAATCATAAAATAGGTAAACTCAGGTAAAGTATTAAAACTTGCTTTTTTTGAAATCATAGTAGATATCGATTTCATTTCTTTTTTCTAATGAAATAGAGCAGAAAATTAATTATTTAATATAATTGATTATTCATCGCTCTTTTTAAACAAAAAGATTACTAAATAATAATTACATTGAATTGCATAATAACTAGTTACTGAATTAAATATTTGAAAAATATGTTGTTAATCCTCTATAGCTAAAAAGGTATCGTAATAAATAAAAATAACATTTTATTCTAATTAAAAGATCTCCATATTTCTTTTTATTTTGTCGAAATTTTTATTTTAAACTTTTCGAATTTATTACAAAAATTATTCGTTATACTGAAATATCTTCGTTTTATTTTAAAGTTATATTTGAAAATTACTCAAATAATTCGTGATTCTGAGATTTAGTATTCATTTCACTTAAATCAAAATAAAAAATGGTATTTCTTCGCTTTTCCATTTTAGTATGAACAAAATATTTGCTCGTAAAATCAGTTTAACTGTATTAATCAGTGAAAACAAAAACGTATATCAACATTATTTATTTCTGAATACTGATATGGTGTTCATTAACGTCAAAACAATGAGTAAAAATGTGATATACATATCGTTATATCATTCGAGAAAATGGTTTTGACGTACCAACATGTACGTCACTCGTGCAAATGACAGGTATGCCTTTGATAACTAAACACGTTATCCGTTGCAAATAGATTAATTAAAAAAAAAGTGAAATCGATATCTATTACGGTTTCGAAGAATCTAGTTTCTGACTTGTAACACTTTATGTACCAAATGTCGTAAGTTCGTTAATATGATTTTATATCTAATAACAGAATCGAATATTCAACATAAATTAACTTTTAAATAATGTGTAAATTCACTGTGCATTACCTGCTGTACCATTATCATTTTGCCAACGTCTACGACCTCCTCTACAACCCGCTTTTCCATCACGACGTGGAGACGCAGGAGGTAAAGTATTCATGGTAGCTACTGCACAGGTCTGTTAACAAAATATATTATTAAATAAATATTACTAAAATATAAATAATTTTAATACAGAGTGGATTGAAAGTAACAACTTGATTTTAACATATAACTATGTAGAAACTATTATATTTATTTAAAAGACTAATTTATATATACATATATGTTCATGTGTATGGGAATAACTTATTCTGATAAGCGAAATCAAAATTGACAATTAAATATGAAAACGAAGGAAAATTTTACTGTTTCTTTCTGTCGATTAATTGTAACTTGATATTGAGTTAATAGAATGGATAAAATAACTTTAATCATGAAAAAATCGAAATAATTCAGCTAATTCTAGTACGTTCTATTAATGAAGATAAATTAATACAGAGAAATGCTAAAGATAAACCAAATTGTTACAATTAAATTTATATAAATAAAAATTTCTGTGTATATTTTTGCGTTTTGATTTTACATCTCATATTTTTCTTTTGGTTTTTTTATGATTATGTCTGTTGTAATGTTTGATTGTAGACAGTAATGTTACATTGTTCCTGACAATGATTTTAAATTTTTATTAAATATTTTGAGCGACGATATGCTTGAAAACTAACGATTATTAAATTAAATCAAAAGTTTCGCAAAGAAGTATATTTTTAAATAAAAAAATATTTGCGTTGCAATTTAAAAGTACTAATGAAAATAAATTTTATAGAATCGAAAATTTATTTAAATTTATTCCATTCACTATCATATCTACTGTTTATCTAAATGGCCAGAGTGTTGATATAACATTTTTCGTTATTATTTTCCATTACATAACAATTGTAGCCGGTAACTATGATACTTTTAAGATATTTATCTTGTTACATGCAACCGATGTTGTTTTCAACCTCGGTCATTTATAAATCTAAAACATTTTTTCTCGCTGAAAAATATGAAAATATTCGTAATAACACATTTAGACAAACTAATTTAAACAAACAAATAAATAAATTAAATCTAAATATTTTAAATGGCAAATTATAATTAAACGACAACAACGAAGATTAACAAAATATATCGTAGACTAACATTGATTAATTGTTTCGAGTAGCTAAATAAATTTTAATAATATAAATTTGAGTTAGTAACTTGTAAAATTAGTAAGTTTTCTAATAAACAGAACAAAATAATGATTCGTGAAAATGCGTCGGTGTAATTATATCAATAGATAAAGGAACGCCCTCAGCAACGCAGATCTCGAAATTATATAATGAAGTATGTTACTCAAAATATTAGTTGGTAGTCAACAATATAAAAACAATAAATCAACATAATTAAAACAACAATATAAAATAACATATGTTAAAACAAATTGATAAAATAATACTGCTTCAAAATTAAAAATTAATACGAAATAAGATGAAGTGGGATAAGTGCAGACTGATTTTAGTAAAGTTGGTATTTAAACGTAAGTATTTTCAGTCTGCTATGTTAATACTTAACACTATCGATATCGAACGCTTTGCAAAATTACTACTATTTAATTAATATTAACTAGGACCTTAATTTTCCTTGTACATTTTGATTTTTATAGGAAATTGTTTAAAATGTCAACAACTCTGCACTTTCCCCGAAAATGGGGTAAGAGCGTAACTTGAAGTTAAATACTTTGAAACTTTATTTCATGTGCAATGGGGCAAGAGCAGAATTATTAACAAATCTGCTATAAAATGCTTTTTACTCCATTATGCAAATACTCTATACTGCAAACAAGTACTCTTAGCTGAAATATAAAAGAGGATATAGTGAAACAAAACAAGGAAACAAACATACTAAATGGAAAAATTTCGTTCATATTGTAATAAAAATAGCCTGTATACGCATTTGCCCCGTTCACGAACTTACCCCACTTCACCTTACATCATGTATATTACATCTCTAAACCATCACGATAAAATTTAATATAAATATTAAAATTAACTATTTTATAAATCATGTTCGCCAAAAAATAAAACGTTACTTTACTAAAAGTGCTTAATTACTAATATATCACAACATTTTATTGTAATAATGTATAACAAAGTGTTTTCTCCTTAAAAACTCTACATTGATACTAATTAATGATTTTAATTCTTAGTTTATGAATTTTTTATGGTTTTGTCAGTTTGAAGACATTGGCGAAATTTTGCACGCATTACACACTTTTTATTTATCAATAATATTTAAATAAAAATTGTAACTTATGAGTTAGAATATTATAAGATGAGTCAAAATAAAAATTAAAATTAATATTAAAACTATACCGCAATGCAGAGCAACACAAAAAGGAAGAAGTGTACGTTGAACAGCTTCATCTTAAAGAAGTTTTTGAACTATTATGGCTTGATCTTACGTGTATTTATACTTATTGCATGGTACAATTATGGTGCTTATCTTATATCACAAAAACACGGTATAGTGACATTTCCTGCAATCTTCTACATTAATTAATACTACACTTTATCGCGGAATATGATCAAAATAAAAATATACATTTTCGAGTTCATCGAAATATAGCAATTATTTTTATTACATAATTTGGTCACAAACTTATTTTTACAGATTTCAATTTTCTGTTAATAAAAATTTACACTTGAATATTAAAAACAGTTCACCTATTTTTCTAAAATTTATTGTTTATTTCTATGTAAAGTTAATTAATTTTTGACTATTATAAATTAATGTTTATTGCTAATTGTTTTATGTTCAAATAATATTTGTCGTACAACTTTCCAGTTTCTTTGACTTAAAATTTGAAACTTAAAGAGAAGAGGTAATTTTGATGTAAAATTTATTTTCAATAAACAAATAATTTTGCACAAAATAATTTTTTATAATTTTTATTTGTACTATTCCTTATCAATTGACGCATACAAAAGAAATATTTTACATCTGTTATTTCAAATGTCGTTTTGTAATTATTGACATATTCTACATAGTTGAATCATATTATAACGCAGAAGCATGTCCGTGAGTTACGCTGACAAGGGACATCACCAAGGTGTTACACGCCGATTTTAATGAAATTGACATATGTGGTAGCTTTCGAAAAATCATTTGACACGTATTTTTTTATATCTGCGAACATCCATGTTGAGGGGGTGAAAATAGCCCTCAAAGTTCGGGATTGAAAACACATTTTCCTTAATATCTCGGAAACTAGAGGGTGTAGGAAGGTGAATTTTTTTTTTAAAATTGTGTAGTTTTTAGTCAGGAATTTAGTTAGTGACAAAAATTTTGGGAGAAATTATTTATTTAAATAATATATTTAAAAAATGCACTTTTTTTTCAATTTTTCACCCTAAATGCAGTTCGATTTTTTTGCAGCTTTGTATACTAAAAATATGGATCAAAATAGAGGATACGTGTTTTTGGAATTTTCTGTTTATTGCAATTTAGCAATAATTATTACATATACAATTTTCTTCTACTTTTTACGGAGGTCAATGAAACTTTTAGCCGAAGATATAAGTTTATTTATTTGACTTTTAATAATGAATTTCTTCATTGAATTTTATTATTGTCTACACTATATAGCATAATCTTCAGAAGCAAGCATTCAACTTTAGCTTAATCAATTTTTATTACATTGTCTTTTGTGAATAAATTTGTATCTAAATTCAATAAAACTAAAGGATTAGAAATTTTATGAATAAAATTTTGTCAACTTCGAAACCTATTAACATTAAATGGTTGAACAAACGGTAGGGTATTTTTTGCTATTTTTAATATTTCCTGCGAGTTGTACGCATACTCGAAAACAAGGCAGAAAAATATTATATGTGTACTCTTACAATGATACTACAATAAAACCCTTATTAAGGAACTCTTTTTAAGGGATACGTAAAAACTAATAACGTCATCATTAACAGTGGTCCATTTGACTTTTCTGGATTAATCCTCTTGGTAAAAAAATTACTGCGCATGTCTATCTTTTACAGTTTAGGACTGCACCGGGGGTCAAGATTAACTGATTAATTCCTCGTGCATAGCACGGGCGTTCCTCGAATTAGTAATTAAATGATTAAACAATAAGTTTAATTAACTTATGCACTGTATGAAAAGTGGTGAAAATAAAGAAAAATTTATCAACAATCATTGTGTATTTATTGTTACCTAACAAATCCAACAGAATAAAAATTTACATATTCGAAAGAGACAATTTGTATTAAGAGAACATGAGAATTCCTGGAATTTGACGTCATTAAAATTCCAGGAAGTGGCACGAAGGATACCTCTTCACAACTTATGTTCTCCTGATACAAATTTCCAAAATCGGTCGGTGGAATTTCAAAAATCGCGACACGGGGATTCTTGGAAAATGACGTCATGAAAATTCCAAGAAGTGGCACGAAGGATACCTCCTCACAACTTATGTTCTCCTGATACAAATTTCCAAAATCGGTCGGTGAAATTTCAAAAATCGCGCCCAGAAATTCTTGGAATTTGACGTAATTAAAATTCCATGAAGCACAAAGAATAGCTCCTCATAATTCGTGTTCTCCTGGTACAAATTCTCAAAATTTTGTTTTTTATTTTTTATTTTTTAAAATTTGGGGCAATTTCTGTGGATAGGGAATGACGGGATTTATAAGTAAGTAAATATGCAAATACATGTTCTTATTCATGTCTATTTTCAAACACTTTTTTACATCAGATGTCTTAATATATTTTATTAATATATAGATACATTATTAACATTTATTTCTAGGACAGAATTATCGTTATGGTATGTAAGTATTAGTGTGTGCTGTAGTACAGGATCTTGTAGGAAGCTAATAAAAATCTGTTGTGAGAATAAAGATAATGTAGCAATTAATTTGCTTCTAAAAAGTTAGAGAAAAATTGTTAGTTGTGGAAGAAAATGTGATTGGATACATAAATCGGACGATTGCTGTCTTGCGCTGTATTAAATGTCGTTCACAATAGTCGTTAGGCTATTTTGACATGTACTTGCCTAATCTGAACGTCTCCTTATGCAGGTTCGACGCAGCGCCATCTAGCAGTGATACCCGAAACTTTAATTAAATGTCGTTTACATTAGGCTATTTTTTTTCACATACTTGCCTATTCTGAACGTCCCCTTAGGCAGGTTCGGCGCAGCATCATCTAGCTGCGAAACGCAGAACTACAATAGAAACTTTGCTGATGGTATATTACCGTTGAAATGTAATCAATTAATTACCAACAAAATCCAGTCGGTACTTTACACGTGTTTATCATAGTTAAGCAATTTGTTGTTGGATGGCGCTTTTAACAGCATTTGTGGCGGTTTTTTTAAAAGATGTTTTCTTTTTTCTTAATGTATTTATATCATTTTTAATAATTCCTATACTCTAATGGTGATCATCAGAATCATCCGTCAAGATGAGTTCTGTTATCAAAGTCGTCGATCAAGAAGAATTCTATTTATACTTGTGAACAAATGATTAAAAAGAACATTTTAAAGAATAAGTATGGAGATATTCATCAACCAGCAAATAAGAACAACTGTGGAATTTCATTCAGAAACTTGGGATTCCTTTCTGTCATAACATACAAAGTTTGTAGACATTGAACATGTCATTAAACTAAGGAGTATAGCAATTATAAATTAATCCGTGATCTTTTTTGCTTATACTTGTCTGAAATGGCATGTTCAAGATCGTGTAAAAAATAAAGCATGATCATAGTTAAAGGTTAAGAAAATACGTAAGTAACTCTGTACAAAATATTCGTTATGAGAAGGTGAAAAATTATCAATAAAATTATATTTACGTTTTATGGATTTATACATCAATTTTGAAAACATGTTATGGATAAATCGAGAAGAAAATATCGACATTATAATCGAGATATAATAACCAGAAGTCGATAATCGATATAGAAGTAGGGCTTCAGAATTTCTAGTAAGTTCTATAGAATTGATTACTTCAAACGTGCTGGGAGGACAGTTGATTTCTGGAATCCTCTGTTATTAGACGAAGTATTCGTGAAATACTAATAAAGTGCATTTTACTAATAAGATATTATACGAGGAAATATAAAATAAAGGTATCGTAAAGTTGCATTTTAAAGTTTTAAATATTTTCATTTAAATTTTCGAATAAATTTACTTAATATTTTGTCTTCTCATCATTACAAGTAGTAATCGTATTAACACTATTTACCTTCATCAAAGAATATAAATGTTATATCGGATTAATTGGTTACTTTTTATTATTTTATTTTAATATTATGCTTTAAATAAACTTGTTTTGTGTATTATCACTTATTTTATAGTTATTTCCGAACATGCTATTCTGGTAGAATAAAATACTAAAACAAAAATTTAGTACTATTTATAAAATATCGTATTTATTTTATACTAGAATGGCTGCAGTAGATATATCTCCCAATAAGGATGGAGGTGTTCTCAAAGAAATTATTAAAGAAGGTGTTGGAGATGAAACTCCAGCACCTGGAAGTAATGTAATAGTTCATTATACTGGTACTCTGCTGGATGGAACAAAGTTTGATTCGAGCAAGGATCGCAATGAACCGTTCAAGTTTGAACTTAAAAAAGGAAGTGTTATTAAAGCTTGGGATATTGGAGTAGCTACTATGAAGAAGGGTGAAGTTGCGATGTTGACTTGTGCTCCTGAATATGCATATGGAAAAAATGGTAGCCCACCTAAAATTCCACCAAATTCAACACTTAAATTTGAAGTAAGTTACTACTCTTATAGTCCAGTTAACTATATTATGGCAATAACAAATTATTTAGCATGGTCATAGACCTCTGACCTATATATGGGTTAACAGTTACCATTTACACATTCTTTGACTTATATATGGGTCATGATCTATTTAATTTGATATACGTTGTTTTAATGGATGCGCAAGAGAAGAAACCATTTTTGGTTTGGATTATGAACATGTTAATTGATTAAATGATGCTTATTCATTCATTATATAAAATGTTTACTTATAACATTGTTGACTATTTTAAATGTGCTATCTTTTTTTGTTAGATTGAAATGATTGATTGGAAAGGAGAAGATTTAAGTCCTGACAAAGATGGAAGCATCGAGAGGTTTCAAATGATTCAAGGGAAAGACTATATTACTCCGCAAGATGGAGCTTTAGTTAATGGTAAATACAACTACTCAATGTTTCATGTTAAATGACATTTTATTTGAACTTGTTCTTTTCAAGTAATGAGTTTGTTCTTTTTCAGTACATTTAACTGGAACGTATAATGATAGAGTATTTGAAGATAGAGATGTTCAGTTTTCTCTCGGAGAAGGAGAAGATTGTGGTGTTATAGAAGGTGTAGAGAAAGCCTTAGAGAGCTTTAAAAGTGGAGAAAAATCTAGACTTAAAATTAAGAGTAAATACGCATTTAAAAATGTAGGAAAATCGGAATTTGATATTCCACCAAATGCAACTGTGGAATATATTGTAGAATTAAAAAGTTTTGAAAAGGTAATTATTTTATTGAGATATTATATAAGTAGTAAATGAATTGCGTCTTTAATATATTTTATTTGCATTTCAGGCTGTAGAAGTTTGGTCTTTACAGCCTCAGGAAAAAATAGAACAAGCTAAGATTTTCAAAGAAAAAGGTACCACATACTTCAAAGCAAATAAGTACACTTTAGCTATCAAAATGTATAAGAAAGTTACTTCATTCCTGGAATATGGAGACGATTTTGAAGCAGATCTTAAAACGGAAAGAAATAATCTTCTTTTGTCTTCACACTTGAATCTGGCTCTATGCCACTTAAAAATAGATCAAAATGTTGAAGCAAAGGATGCATGTAATGAAGCTTTGAAGTTAAGTCCACAAAACGAAAAAGCACTGTTTAGAAGGGGACAAGCGTACCTTGCACTGGCGTCACCTGAAATTGCAATTAAGGATTTCCAAGAAGTTATAAAGATAGAACCAAAAAATACAGCAGCTGTGAAACAAATCGGTGTTTGTAATAATTTAATTAAAAAACAATTAGCGAAAGAGAAAAAATTATATGCCAATATGTTTGACAAGTTTGCCCAAGAGGATAAGCAGGTTTGTGAAAAGCAACCGTAATATTATGTAATATGGAATACAAGTCTTGAATTTTGTACTGTTACATATTCATTTCATGTCTATTTAACTTTTATTCATGTAATGTTAATGATTGATAACAAAGTGTCTTCAATTTTCAATCTCTAATAAAGAAACTACGTATTGTACAATGTTGTTGATTAAATTATATATATGGCCAGTATGTACTTAAAATTTTTATTCCATATTCATATGATATGTTTCACTATAAACTCTTAGTAATGTCACAGAAGGAGGAGGAAAAACTACGAGAACAACCAGATGTAATGCGTGGTGCCCTGGGTGAATGGGGTCAAGAAGAACGACCTGGAGGTAGAGATGCAACTGCCTTTGAAAAGGAAAATCCGAATATACTTATGCTCAATGCTAATGGTACCGGCGAATTTCAGAATATGTAAAAAATTATCGTTTCCATGCCTTACACTGCCCTATTTTTAATTATCAGCAGTCTACAATTTTATTACCTGATTTGAATGCCTTCAAAAGTGCATCTCATAAGTTTATTAGTATTCTGTGAAACATAATACAACCTAGTCGACAAAATTCATACTAAATAAAATGTTATCATTTATCATCATGTTTATATTTCATTGGAACCATAATAGCATAAATTATTTTTCAATTTTTCATTTCTTACCTATTTTGTTAATCTTGGTAAGTGTCATTAGTATTAATTTGCAAATAAAGTTTTTATGATACTAGATATGCTTTATTTCATGTAATTATAAATATAACTTTTGACCATATTTTTCTGGTTTTCGTTCACCTGTATATAAATAATGTCATAAAGAATTGTATCATTACAGTAAAAGCCGAATATTTATATAACATAACATCTTATTAAAAATGATTAACAAGTTTACTTTTAAACATTAATATATTTTTATTTTAGAACAAATAAATTTCTTGTAAAACATAGATCTTATACATTTTTCTGTAATTATTCTACTGAGAATAAAATTTCTTATTCCTATTATTATTTATAAGTTAAAATTTTTAAATATAAATGAAAAAAGAGCTTTTAGTATTTTCGTATACATATAATGTTATGTTTTAAGCTAATAACATTTTATTTATTTTTACTACAAAGTTTATCGTTTCTACAGTTTTTTCTATATCTATCATTTGAATATTTAAATTTTCTAATCAACTTTTGCAAACGAAGGATAAAGATATAAATAGATGTATCCTAAGCTTCAAGCAATTCGCCTAACTCGCTTAGCAACAGTTATGTTGATGCAGCAATAAAGACTGATAAAGAAAGTAATAGCTTTAGTTTAAACAGTGCTATTGCAGCAAATGGTCAAATTCTTCTATTGGTATTGAGGTAATTCTTGTAATCAAAATACATAAACTATAGATAATAGAAAAATAAGTAACATTATTGTATAATTTTTCAACGTTACACGTTATGGAATTGTTTAATTGAATCCATGCAAGAAAAAGAATATCTGTTAAATAAAATCAGATAAAAGTATGTTATACAAGCTATATAATATTTCAGTATTTAATATTATCTACATTAATTTTTCCATTAATTGTTTACATTGTTTAGTAAATATTAAAGCAATCTTTATTATTGACAATTTCTCTTATTTAACGTATTTAAACCAATGGTATATTTCCATGGAAGTACTAATACAAACATATAGAGAGTGTATGTGCATAAGGAGACCTCCGCGAAACTACACATTCGCATATTCTTTATTCTGCTTCATTCCTTGACAGGAATCATTCGAAGTCGTTTGTTTAAGAGTGTAGTACAAAACTAATCTATTGTTAAGATGCCGAATATTATAAACGATATCAAATTGGATTTCAAAGACGTTTTGTTACGTCCTAAAAGGAGTACATTAAAAAGTAGATCCGAGGTAAGTAATAATTAAGGTTTACAAATTTATAGCCTACATTATCAAATTGTTTAGTTCTTTATAAATGTTACTAAAAATTAGAATAATACATACAGAATATTTCTTTTTGAATATCTTATTATGACAAATATTCTGTTCCTTTATATTTATAAAATATTTTAAGCAACTTGTTCTTGTTTAAAAAATTGTGCTACATATATTTTCATCTCAGTTGATTAAGTATATTAATTATAAAATGTAAAAAACAGTTTAATGATGAATATTTTATAATTTTAGGTCGATTTATACAGAGAAATTACATTTCGTAATTCAAAACGAACTTATAAAGGAATACCTGTAATGGCTTCAAATATGGATACAGTAGGAACATTTGAAATGGCAAGAGCCTTATCAAAGGTATGACATTTGTATTTAAAAAGTGACAACTAAGTTCAGTACAATATTATAGTTGCAGATACATGTTATTCCTACAATTTATACTTCATATTATCTTTGTTATGTTTTAGCATGGTCTTTTTACTACTGTCCACAAGTATTATACAGCAGAAGAGTGGAAAGATTTTGCAATGCAAAATTCTGACTGCCTTAAAAATGTAGCTGCCAGTTCTGGAACAGGAAAAGAAGACTTTGAACGATTATCAAGTGTTTTAGCAGCTGTGCCCGAATTATCTTTTATTTGTTTAGACGTTGCTAATGGATATTCGCAACATTTTGTTGAATATGTTAGAAAAGTGAGATCTGAATATCCTAATCACACGATAATTGTAAGTAATTTACCTATCGTTTAAATTTCTTATCAAAAGGAAAAGAACATATTATTCAGTTTTTTAGTACTAATTTATACCTTGTATTTGGAAGTAAAGATTAATTACTGCCACTGCAGGCAGGAAATGTAGTAACAGGTGAAATGGTAGAAGAGCTAATATTGTCAGGAGCAGATGTGATAAAAGTAGGAATTGGCCCTGGATCTGTCTGTACTACAAGAATGAAAACTGGGGTAGGATATCCACAACTAAGTGCTGTAATTGAATGTGCAGATGCAGCTCATGGTTTAAAAGGACACATCATTTCTGTAAGGAATGAAAATTTGTAATCCCTAATTATTTTTCATCACAAAACATTGTGGTTAGAAAAATTATATTTTACCACAAATTATTACTTTGTTTTAGGATGGAGGATGTACTTGTCCAGGTGATTTAGCAAAGGCTTTTGGTGCAGGAGCAGATTTTGTAATGGCAGGTGGTATGTTTGCTGGACATGATGAATGTGGGGGAGAAATTATTGAGAAAAATGGGAGAAAAGTTAAACTTTTCTATGGCATGGCTTCAAGTACAGCCATGAAAAAACATGCTGGTGGTGTTGCAGAGTATAGGTTAGTATTTTTATATGTATATATATGTTACCGGCGAAACCCGATTTTAGGATAAACTAGTTTTTCCTAGGCTAAACCAGTTCATCCTATATGCTTAGTCTAGGCAAAACTAGTTTGGCCGATAACATATACATACAATGTAAGCGTAAAAGTATTTCAAAGTTTTTCATTCTAAACTTATAATTTTTGTAGATCATCCGAGGGTAAAACGGTGGAAGTACCTTATAAAGGTCTAGTGGAAAATACTGTACTAGATATGCTTGGTGGATTACGCTCTGCTTGTACGTATACAGGAGCTCAACGATTACGAGAATTACCACGTCGGGCTACATTTATACGTTGCACGCAACAATTAAACCCAATGTATGGACCACCTCCAGAAATGTGAATTTATTTTAATTATTTAATTCAGTGTAGTAGAAGCTTAGAAAAAAGTATTTACTTATTGAGTCAATTAACAAATGCTATTATTTGCTGGCAAATAATATTTATAAACAAATTTAAAAGCTTTGACTAACGTAGATGTATATACTTCTAAATGTATATACGTCTTGACGATAATTGTATTATATTTAGTGAGTTTTAAAAGGTGAAATTTAAAAAGCACAAATATATTTTCATGTTCTCATATATATATATATTCTTTTTACAAACTTTTCATGCTTAATTGTACATACATACATACATACATACATACATACATACAAGCATATATGTATACATGTATATTGTTCCATGTTATTGAGCATATGAATAAAATCTATTAATCTTAAATTAAACTATTTAATTTAGAATATTCACAAATGCAATTTTAAAAATTATTCTATAAAAGCAACAGATAATATACATGTGCACATAGCATTAAATAAATTAATCAAATATGTATATATGTATAAAGTGAATTTTCATATAATGCATGTATGTAATACAAATTGTTTTAGATGTGTGTATTAAAAAATGTATGCCATAAAAATATTACAATTAAAAACATGTTAAAGCTGGAATTCTGAAATAATATAATCATTTCTTTATTCCTATAAACTGATCATTTTAATATGCATAAAAATTAATTTTTTTTAATTTCGTATATCTTTCGTTTCAAAAGTAATAGTATTACAAACCTTGTATTATCCTATTGTTTTCTTCTATAAATCACAGAAGTCAGTACTTCGGAAAAATTTTATTCATACCTACTGCTTGATGTTTTCCATCAAGAATAGAAAGTTTATAATCCATATTCCTGAAACATTTTCATAAATTTTATTATCATTGTTATAATTAAAATAAAATAGTTTATTTCTAAGAGGATCCTGTGCAAGATTTAAGTTTCATAAAAATAATCTTAATTGTTTGTTAGTAGACAGAGTCAATTTATAACTGATTAAAATATTTAATAACGATAACAGAATAACAAATATTTATCTTTACTTACTGTAATTACAAACTGTAAATTGGTACACAAAAGACGTACAGTCGAAACACATAAAAATTTTTGATGCTGTAATATAAAATGAAAATATTTTTCTTTGAGCATTCAGTTCATTAACATTTTCATCATACACTTCTTAATAGCATTTCATTTAAATCTTAAAAAACAATACGCATAAATATACAGTGAAAAATTATAAACAAATAAATAAATTCATAAAATACTATGGTTACTTAAAATAATATCAAGCCTATAACTGAAACAAGAAGGATAAATCATAATTTAAATACCTTTCGTTTTATGTATAAAAATAGTACCATTATGTTTTTATGCGATTTATCGATAATACATAAATAAAAGTGTATTTGTATAAAGTATAAAACGTACAATTTTTATTGTATTATGTACGTATTATACAGGTATTGAAATATTAGTAGCTAAATTATTATATAATATAAATAAGGCTTTTATCCTAGAAATTAAACATATTTAACAAAATGTTAAATGTTAACAAATCGTATTATTAATTATGCACTAAAATATTTTGTGAGTAAAGAATAAATAATTACTATATAAATTCGTATATACTAAAATATGTATAATAACTATGATTTATCTTCGTAAATAAAATGTTTTTCTTATAAAATTGTACTGTTTAAAAATCATCACTAACTGTTTTTGTTATAATCTGTCTACATTCTGTGCATAATATTCAATAATAAAATTCGAGTAGTCAATAATAAACAAACAAACAAATAAATAAATATAAATCATGTTTTCTTTTACTAAAAATACTTAAAATTGAATTATATGAACTTAGAATTGATTTACGTATTATATAAAATATCAAAACAAAAATATAACAAAAAATTTTTAATCCTTTTTGTAAAATATACATTTTTTCTGTTATGTAAACACATATAAAAAATATTAAAATTATACACAATCAAAATTTATACATTGTATTTTTTTAAATTTGACATCGTACAAACAATACCGTGATTTTTTGTTTTCTGATCTTATGATTTCAATTAATAAATATATAATTAAATTTGCAAAGTCGTAATTTTGATCAATTGTAAATAATTTGAAATAGAAATTTTATATATGACTAGTAGAATCTGTTAATGATTATTTATCATAATTAATACATGTGTGTAAATAACTGTTTAATAAAATTAAAAAACAATATACATACATACATATAACTATGTAAGTTATGCACAAATAGTGATTTGATATGCCATCCGTTATTCTCCGGTTTCGCAGGTCCTAATTCCTTTGAATTAAACACATAGAATGCTGAATGAAAGATTTAAAATTTGTAGGTCCCCTTGATGAAATTTATCGTAGAACAGGTAAACGTTCCTACAATTGGCAGCTCCAAAAATCTAAAATAGTAGTGGTATTTGACAAGAAAAAGCAAAGGAACCAAGGTAAAATTGTATTTAGTACTGTTATAATAGTATATATGTATATGTAAACCATCATACGTATATCATATTCTCTTGCATACATAATAGATAAAACAATTCATAGATAATAAAAACGAATTTTAGCTGTTTGTAGCCATTTATACTATAAAGGTTTTCTAATTCACTAAAGACAAATGTTTCATGAATAAGCCAGTGAAACATAAATAATGACATATCGAAATAAGTGTCTAAATGTTTTTCTTATCAATACATTTTTAAGGACAACTTTTAGTATTTTTAATGATAAATGGGAAGCATAATATGGATATACTGTTGTAGATTCCTCGCCCCTGTTTCTGACCTGCTGCTTCTCACCTGCCAGTTTCAATTTATGTTACAATCAGGCGTTATGGAACAAAAATACATACAATAATATAAGTAGAACACAAGTAGACATCATATGTTGATATTATATTATAATGTTCAATTTCTGGCATTTCTCGTTACTTAAAATTAAAACCATGAGTATCCTACAATATGTATATATCTATGTATATAAAAAAAACACAAAATATCATAGTATAAATAGAACATAGTCGAGCCTAGTGGTACTTTGAAAGTTAATGGATGTTGCGAAGCGATCAACTATCGTAATTTATCGTAAACAGTATATGAAGTTACAGCAGGCATTAACCGCATCCTGATGGGAAACTATCTGAAAACTATCTGAAATAAACAAATAATTATGATAAAACATATGAACCAGATATAAATATAAATATACTTTCAAAGGTGTAAAATATATCATTCGAATATCCAGATATATCAAAAAATAAATTCATTATTTTTATTAACATTCAACTCCCTGAAAGTATCAACAGTTATCAGCACACATATGGCATTCCCTTCCTCTTACACCATTGATTTTCAAAGTAAATAACAAATATTAAGTCAATATAAATATAAGTGTGATAACATGATAATATATAGTATATATGAAAATACAAAATTTATTAATATTAAATTGCTTCATGTAGACTATCGTAGATTATTAAATTAGGCAAGCATAGAAAAATATATTTTATATAACTTTAACTTATCTTACTTTTAAACATTTATGTACCAGAAAATACATACATGTATATATTTATCTTCTTTATATATTTTCTTATGAGAAGAATATGTATACAATTTTAAACAAATTTAGAAATTCAAATATACTTAAAAATTATTTTTGTTTCACTCAATTTTATATTGACTTAATATGAATGAATATTCGAAAAAATTGCATGATATAAAAAATAAAGCATCTAACTACTAATATCAGAATGTTGTTTTAAAATATAAAATGTTAATATTTCTTGTATATTATTAAAACAAGAACTTTATATCATACATTTTTTTAAATTTTGTATGCAAGTATGAAAAATGGACATAAATACTTACAACTAGTTTTTTCGTGGTGGAAGTTTAACTTTCTGTATTCGTTTGTGAATACGGATAGTTCTGATAGCCCGTTGGGAACGATGGATTTTGTTGACCGGCTTGTGGTTGTGTGGTAGATCCAGCCCCCGTTGCATAATAACCCGTTGGCGTTGAACCGGCATTTATTGTTGGGTAATTACCATAGGCTTGTGGAAATGCGTTCGGAGTCCCACCTCCTGGACCTGATTGACCTTGCATACTCTGTTGCATTTGCTGTTGAGCCATTTGATTGTTTTGCATACCCAACTAAAAAGATCAGGCGTACTGAGTTAATATTTTCTATAATTAGCTATAGACTTCTTTTTCATTTCTAATTATTACATACTTTTCCCGCTTTCATTTGAGCTTCTATAGCTTCCGCTTCTTTTATTTTACCAATACTTCTATAATATTCTGCCCATTGTGCACTATAATCAGCTTGACCTCCATTTTGAGTAGCTCCACTTTGTTGCTGCTGCTGTTGTGTTTGTTGTTGCTGTTGTTGAGCTGGACCAGCAGTACCAGTTGCTGATGTGTTAGATTGATTTTGCGTATTTCCTACAAATGCAAATTGGTAATCATAAATTACGGTGAACATTCCAGGAAAAGTATACCTAGGTCTTATGCTTATCATGCGTGGTTGAAATTTTTACCTGATTGCTGATTGTGATCTTGTTTGCCTTGTTTTGCTTGCTGTTCGATCATGTCAGCCTCTCTATGCATACCAAGTGATCGATAATACTCTGCCCACTGTGCACTATAATCTGGTTGTCCTGTTTGTGGATTTACTTGAACAGGTGCTTGATTTGCAGTATCTAAAATGATATATGAAAGATAATAGATAACATTTATTTGAATTTTAAATATAAGCACTTTTTTAAATAAAAGCACATTTACTTGTATCAGTAGTTTGCGGTTGACTTGGCCATGCTTGATAGGCTGTTCCAGCATTCCAAGTTGGATTATATCCTATTGCTCCTTGTGTGCCACTAAATGATGTATTGGCTGGTGCCTTTAATTCATTGAAATCAATGAATAATCAAGAAATTAATATTGCTAAAATTTATATTTTAATCATATTTACCATGCCTAATTTTTCACTAAATATTCGTTTCGCGTGCTCTACTTGTTCAGGATTACCGCGAATTATGAAAATTTTTTCATTTTCATTACTCTGATTTCTCCTATCTAATTCACAGTGTGCTCCAGTTTGTTGATTGATTTGTTTAATAGTTTCCCCACCTAAAATAGTGAAAGTGCTGATTGAAATGCATTTATTAAATCTTATTTCTATAATTATAAATTAATATAATTTTACCTTTTCCAATAATAATACCACATTTTGATGACGGGACGGTAAATGTTGTTTCTATTTTATCTTGCATGGGTCCTCCTTGACGCCTATCCCAGCCACCATATTCATTTGGATTTCGATTATTACCAAAACCATTTCCGCGAGGACCACTTCTTGTTCCCATAGGACTTCTACCGTCATCTCTTCTCTGCAAACAAAAAAATTAATTAGAAATAGGAAATACCGTTATATTTATACGTATAATATCAATAATATAAACTAACATCAAATCTATTATTTACCATCACACTGTCTATAAGTTCTTGAATGCGTTGACGAACTTGTTCTACAGCTTGATGTTTTCCAGATAATATGCATTTTCTATCTCCGGGGCCATCTTCTCTTCCCTGTTGAAACTGGACTCTAGCACCAGTCTCTGCTTGTATTTTTTTTATCATATCTCCTCCCTTGCCAATAACAACACCCACTGCTGCTCTTGGAACAAGTACCTGATAAAAACATTGATAGATATGAATATGTGTTTACAAGAGTACATACATTTTCAAACATCTCTCTAGCTGGCATATTTGTAAGAACCATATTATACCTCTACTCCATCAGTGGTTCCAGAACCATGATTAAAACTACTATCATTTGAGTAACTTCCACTCCTATCATTACCTCTTGCACCTCTATGAAACATTTGCATTTCTTTTTCAGCTATTAATTCATACACTAATTGTTTGGCATATTCAACTTTTTGTGGATCACCAGTTATCCTATATAAAAAATATATCTATAGCGTTTCGTGTTTTCTAAACTGTTTAAGATTTCGAGAGTGGTTCAGAATATCATACACAGCAAGTAACAAAGTAAAAACTGTAATTATTGCTACCTTAACGGTTTTTCTTGTTCCTGAGAAGGTCCTTCTTGGATAACGACCATTTTGGCTCCAGACTTCTCCTGAAGTTGTTTTATTGTTTCCCCTCCTTTTCCAATAATTAAGCCAACTTTAGGTCCAGGAATCATTATTTCGACAAATCCTGGGTGCCCCATCATTCCGCCGCTACTCCCACTCATGTTCATATCACCAATTCCTTCGGTTCTACTTCTTTGATTTACAATTGATAATACCAACTCTTTAGCTCGACTGAAACATATACGATTTAAACGTGCAATGTCATTTTGAATAAACTGCAATATAAATATAATCTATTGATGTACAGTAATGTAATTTGTTTGCAACACATAATGTGATGTCTACTGTGTGCCAAAATATAAAAAATCATGAATGTCACATCATTTTTTTGTTCAACGAAGTTATTTCATAAGTGTATAATAAAATTAAATTTCATGTTAAAATGTTGTACACTTAATTATAAGCAGATTTAAATAAATAAAAATTCAATGTTCTTCTTGTTGCGAATAACACGTCCCCATGCATATCCTATCCTCCTTCCTTCCTTCTTTCTCTCCATATCCTATTGAAAGCAAAAAACTATTAGTAAGTACAAAATTATTAAAGTAAAAGCCACAACTTATTGATAAATTCTTAATGAAAAAATATTCTGAAGCATATAAAGTATGAGCCCGCTATTCGCATCCAGGAGCTAAATAAAGATTCTGTAAAACATTTGACAATTTCAATTTGCGAAAGCATGTAACCTACATTTAAGAAATGCATGTTAACATGAAGTGATAGCATATGGAGTATACTAAACACACACAAACTATATTTCACCAGTACTATTTGTGCTTAAAGCACATTTTCAAATGGATACAATTAATGTATATAAAGCATCATAATCTTATACTACAACGCCACAATGTGATTTTCAAAACCATTTTGTCAGAATGAAATAGTTGATACTTTCAGGTGTTTCTAGGAGATTTTATAATGGAACTAGGTGGTCAATTTGTTAATTAAGTAAATTAGAATCTAATCAATGTCCTATATACCAAGTACAAGGAGGATAGCAGTTTGTTTTCCTGTATATGTGTTTATAAATAGATATGTACACACGTATATGTAAATATATATTTATATGTATGCACATATAACTCTACATATAACTATATGTATATATACATAAGTATATGTACAGATATAAAAAATATATATATATATATTGCATTATGAGTGTAATCGATAAGTGCCATTTGATATAACACCATGAAGTAATCCTTTCTTCTAGGCAAAAGTTTGTAAAGTGGAAATTGCATTGCATACAAAATAGTTAAAATTAACAAAATAAGAAGGGAAAAATAAGTTACTTGACAGCTTCTCGTGAGCCAGTTAATGTGCAAACACGTTCAGGTAGCCCACTTTCTGGCGCCATTTGTATCTTACATCCTGTTTCACTTTGTAATCTTGTTATTTGTTCGCCACCTCTGCCAATTACTGTAAATATATCATTATTACTTATAACAATTCATTCTAAAAATTGGAATAATTTATTCTTAATTGGCAATTTATATGAATTGTACTAATTTTATTACATTAGTAATGCTAATAGAATTGTTTCAATGTAATATTGATTTGGTTGTAAAATTATTTAGACAAATGTATAAGCATGGAATGTAATGCTAAACTATAAAATGAAATACAGGTAATTTTCGGACTAAAAATATTTAAACATGGTATAGATATATTTATTACTATACAATAATTCTGATTTAATGAAAGTAATATGTATCTATAAATTAATATTTACTTACTTAAACCAACCATTTTATCTGGAACTCTGATATCTTCATTACAAATACCTCCTACATTCCCAATGGGTCCAGATGATCCTGTTTGCCCTGTTCGTCCTTGGTTATTTGAATCTCCTAATGAATTACTTCCTACTGGGCCACGTAGTCCAATTAATGGATCTGTTACTAAAGATGCCATTTTCTTTGCTTCTGGTTCTGTAAAAATAATGTAAATATTATAAAAATATATTATACAAATTAGACATAGTTTTTGTAAATATATATATTACCTGATCCATCCTCAAGAGGACGTTTCAACTTAGTTTCCTGATTATTTTGAGCACCAGCTGGATTAATCTTTGCAGCTATCTAAAATGTAATCATATTTTTATATTATTGGTAGTTTATTAGTTATCATAAAAGTATATATAAATTAACTTCAAAAATGTGTTCTTTGTTACACAATGTTCATAGTAGATATCAAAAAACGATTTCCTAATCTTTTAAGAATACATTCTATAACGAATTAATTTGTTTTACAACCTTGTTCATTATAGCATTCATTTATTATACCATACATATACACATGTATAAATTTATAAAACAATTATAAAGAGAAAGAGAAGTCAATTCTACTTCTACCCTGTAACAGATTTATTTCCATGTTTTGCTGCAAGCATTGTAATTTAATCAGAAACTGTACTTTTCCTAGTATTTCATTCATTGTAGTATATCCCACTATTCATAAAATTTAAATAATATAATGCAGAAGTATCTTAAGAAACGACCTCATGTTTATTCTTGCTATTCTGATCAATTGTATCTTTTTATAAAAGAACAAAAACACATAATCTGATAAATTAATTTATTTAGTTTTTGTTCATTTTTATTTCATTTTGGTGAAAATCACAAATATGACAGCTGATTGTTCTAATATTTGTGTATACTGTAGCTATGTTTTGATCTCTTAACTACTTTCTTGATTTAGACCTGAAGGTATAATACCTTGGTCATCCCAATTACCCAATGTAAAACTTATGGACACTTTAATGCGAAGAATTTTTAAGTAGAAAACTTTATTCAGGATCCATCAACTTAAAAAACCAACAGAAACTCTAAATTGTATCTGTAGCACATTAAATATCTAGCTACAATTCTACTGGTTAATATTAGCATTAATGTTTATTGTTTAATAAATATCTATAAAAACTATATTTGTTTCTTTTTTTTTATAATTTTGAACAAAATGAAGCAAAAATTGCGCAAATCTCAAAAAGACTTTCATATCTAATAAACTAATAGATCTATCAAAAAGTTCTGTCCTCATAAACATGGTTTATATTTTGAGGTATGTTTTCCATTTTGGGTACTTATATACAATGTCTAATTAATGAATGTAATAAAATATTGTTTGTGTATAGTTATCGTCTTTCAATTACCATCTTAAATACACTTATTTTCATGACTTAAATTTCTACTTCTAACAGTTTTAAACTATTGTTGATTTATACCATCCAGTTTTCATAATGTCTATATTAAATAATGTAGATTTTGTTGTATAACTATTATATTATTTTCTTATTAAGCTTATAAAGAACATAATAGATCTTGTCGGCTAATTGATGTTTGTTTTATTATCTTTTATAGCAAATAAAGTAATTGAATATTGAAATTTTATTTTACGTAGAACAAATCATTCATAAACAAATAAAATATTAGATACTGCTTATAATTTGCTTATATCGTATCTGCAAGTGAAAATCCTCAATAGCCATAAAATAACATTCTAATAGACCTAATAACAATATAAAAAAATTCGTTTTCATCAAAAAATTATACATATATCTTGTTGTATCTTATAATTTTCATATAAGCAATTTTTGTATCTCCAATATGTTATGAAAAGTTCAAAGTTACAGCGAACATCTAATATAATATTTTAACAATTAATTCACGAATCCCAAATATATATAATTTATAATTAATTTAGTAACAAATAATGTAGTATATTTATATACAACTATAACTATACAACTGTAATAATAATTCAAGAGTTTTTAACATAATAAATGTTAGATCAGAGATTGATACAAAAACTGTAGCTTTAAGTACTCTTCAAATAAACGCAATAAAGATAAAATATACGCTTAATAGCCTAAGATAAATAAAATAACTGATACTATAAAAAATTGTTTATTAATAATCTAAATTGTCGTAGAGATTTATAAAGGTATAAAGTACTTTATGACTTACTTATGAAATGTTAATTTAATTAAAGTTTATATTAATTTAACTGATTTGTTTACCTGTTTTGCACGTTGTAAAGCTGCTGCAAATGCAGAGCTTTGGCTAAAATTTTGAGGCGGAGCAACCGCTGAATAGTCACTCATGATGGAACATGAAGCAATACGAATAGAAAACTATTTTAATATTTCTTCTTGTAAATTACTATTTATAATTGTTTTTATGAAAATCACTATTATTTTAATACTTAGAATCTATTTCACTCAAAATATAAACACTTTACCGCACTGCTTTTAAGGTACACAATGGTACAAAGCAGAAGTTTACGAGTGAAAGAACTGTGCTTTCACATAAAGAACAGCACAGCGCAAGCGTCGGTCATAAAATAGGAATTTTAAAGGTTTGGATTTGTTGGAAAAATTAAGGATCCAATAGGACCTCATGCGGCAAAACCGGGAAACTTCGAACAAGGATTAGCAACCTTTTTCTTCTGTATTTCTCTGTAAAGGATAGACAAGAATAGTTACAATTTTCCTTTAAAATTAACAAATATTTTCTCATGTTTACTATTTAAAAATATTCTGTGTATAATTACACAAAGAATGCACATTGTAATTTGACTTTAAGGATTTTTAAACATAGGACATGAAAATGTATTGTTTATGAAGTCTTAAAAGCTAAATTACTAAAATAAATTGCAATACCTTGTATAATTATATACAGAATATTAGAAAAAAATGTATGAAAAAATAGTCTTTTTTGAAAAGTGAAATCGTATTTTTGTATTTTAACATGATCGCCGTCTATGTACCTTTCCTAGAAAATGCAGAAAAAAAGGTCAGAGGCCAAAACAATTAATATATATAGAGAGAGTTAAAAGTATAAAATTGATTTATGAAAATAAGAATTTATTTTATGAAAAAATAAACTTATTTCGTGCAGTTTGACCGCATTCAGAAGATACTTCACCATCAACCTGACATCTTTCTATAGTTTGCTATTTCATGATCATATACATGGCGGATAAAAATATACGAATAACAGTAAACTATACTGTGTGCAATATGTAATGCAAGCTATATACTAAAAGATCACTGCATATACATATTCAACATCACAAATATCATAAGAGCGCTTGCGCATTATTCTCGATTACTTAGTGGTATATTTAAAGTTATAAAAAAATGTTAGCATTTAGCGTAGCTTCAAAGAGTTGAGAAAGCTCTCCTTTACGTACGCTGTTTCACTTATCGCTAACTTTCTACTCTATCCTTCATATACATGGTGGTCAAAAATATTTGAACAGAATAAAGAAATTGAGAAATATATTAAATAAAAAATCGCTGGATGTGAATGCATCACATCATGATTGTTATATTCGCGCATGCACGTTACCCTGGCTACAGAGCTTGTTAAACCAATCAGAGTCGATATACACAGGATGAACAAAAACTCGTCATTTGACATTATTCTATGAATTCAACTATAGAACCAAGGAAAGTCAACATGCGCAGAATGAGGAAATAGCGACCATGCACCATACATGGTCATATGATCCTTCGTGAAATGATGTGCAACTATGTACAATCAATGTATCTGTACATACATATATTGATGTCAAAGTGTGATGCAATGTAGATTATCATTTATGTACATACATGCATACGTATACATATACATGTTTATAAGTACATACTATTTACACTATAGTTTTATGATGTGAAAAATGATAATCATTTATAAGATAAAGAATTGGCTTGTCACTTATAGCTTAAATACCGTTTCAAGCAATTCTTAATGTGGATCTGAATTACATTTTGTCTGCAATTCTATAGATTTTGTTAATTTTGTAAATTTATGAAAATGTCACGTTTACAACCTTGTATTCAACTGCAACTTTCAGAAGAAGAATTAGAAAGAGTTGTAGATAAGGCTAAGGATTGGGCACTTATGCATGGTATCAAATTATGGATCTAATTAACTGATATAATAATATAACAAATTTGTCTTTCATACGAATTTATCATTTTTTTATTTTTTAGGTATTAGTATGCGATCAAAAGAACGTTTTAACAAAAACCAAGTACAAGTATTACCATTCACTTTACTACCATCAAGTTTTCCTAAACAAAACTTTGAAAAGGCTAAAAGTATTCAAGTATTACTAAATGAACTTATACATAAGGTAGCGCATAATGATGACTTTCTTAGAAAGAGTTTAAAAAGGTATATATAATTGAAAATAACGTTTAATTGTGTATATATAGACTATTCCAGGTTTTTATATACAAACTTTGCCAGTTTCCTATAAATGGAAGTAAAATTCAAGTGTTGCATGATAAAAAATTCATAAATAGTTTATTACAAAATTATGTTAATAAAATGAAATGCAATGAAAATATTATTTCCTAGTTTGCATTTGAAAATGTAGTTACATTTTATAAAGGAAATAGTATTATGATATCTTTTATAGTTCATACTTTTGTTGCAATTTTGTAAGAAAATATTTTACAACTTGTTATGCAACATTTTTTTGTTATAGTTACTTTTAGAATATACCGATAAAGTTTGTATGGAAAAATTGAAAATAGTATATATTATTTTTTATATACCTTAATTATTTCTAACTTTATTGTTTTAGTACAATCGAAGCTGATCCATTCACAGCAGAGTTATTTAAGATATATGAAACTGTATATGAGGAAGGATACAGTCAGGTAAAATAGCATATTGCTAATATAAATTTATTTATATGAATATTTCACACAGTAATAAATATATTTTCTGTTATAGAATTTAAGTCTTGGTTTACTTAGATCAGATTACATGCTACATGACAATGGGATTAAACAAGTTGAATTAAATACTATTGCAAGTAGTTTTGGAGGCATAGCTAAAGTTATAACTGAGTATCATAAGTGAGTTTTCAGTATTTATATTTTATTATGTTATAAAAGTATTTAAATCTAATCAAGGAACATTTTAGATATATTTTATCAGAGTTGGGACATGCAGATAAACTAAAAAATGTAAGTGTTTTTATATGTTTTGTGTTGGCATCTTTTCAAATATTTAATTTCCTATATTGTAATTATTCTAGATTCCAGAAAATAATCCCATTGCAGGTCTTTGCAAAGGCTTAACACATGCATGGAAATTATATAATAATAATGAGTATGTAGTTATAATAGCGTACTGAATGGCATTTAATGATTATATTATGTAATTAATAATTTTCTATTTTAGTGCTGTAATACTGTTTGTTGTTGAAAATATTACTTACAATATATGTGACCAAAGATTTCATGAGTTTGAAATTCGTAAGATTAATGCAGATATCAGGGTAATCAGAAGAAGTTTAAGGGATTTAGTATCTCAAGCAAAACTGGGCCCTAATAAAGAATTGATAGTGTATGTAATTGTATAAAAAACATTTTAAAGTCTTTTCGGATTTAATATCTAAAACAGTGGTTCTTAATTTGAGCCAGAAGGAACTAAATGATACGTGGATAACTTGTACAATATACAGTATAACATTTACATCATTTAATAATTTTACTTGAATATCAACATGTATACTTGTCTTAATTTTGAGTATTAATACTAGTTCGATGTAATGTCGACTACAGAAGCTTGGTGATATTAATTTTTAATTGTTGATTTTGGCAATATGCATTTATAAACCGGCTGAGAACCGCTGATTTAGAGGATTAAAGAGTAGTCCATTTTTTATACATTTTTAAATTTACAAATTTATATGTAGATAACAAATTCACAAGTTATATATTTAATTTGTAGTGGAGAATTAGTGGTTTCTGTAGTTTATTTTCGTTCTGGTTACGAAGTTGAAGCTTATCCTACTGAAAAGGAGTGGTTAGTTAGATTGCTAATAGAACGTTCTCAAGCAATAAAATGCCCATCAATACATTATCACTTAGCTGGTACTAAAAAGGTATATTCAGTACATACGCATTATAAGTATACGCTAAGTAGTAGCGTCAATAAACAATTTTTTTTTTAGGTACAACAGTCTTTAGCAAATCCCAATGTACTTAGTACCTTTTTAAATAATGACAATGAAGTAAAACAGATACAAGAAGTATTTGCTGGGCTTTATTCATTAGAATTTGTAAGTACATCAGATACCATATTATAAAAACATTATCACAGTATAAATAGAATGTCGTCATAGCACTGTACTTTTAGCTTGAATAATACGTAATATCTAAACAATATTTTTTTCAATGATTCGTGGGAAAAATAGAATGAAGAAGGAGATAGAATTATTGAGAAGGCAGTATTAGAACCAAAAAAATATGTTCTGAAACCACAAAGGGAAGGAGGCGGAAATAATGTTTATGACGAAAAGATAAAGTTGCGTTTAGAAGCAATGAAAAATTCAGAAGAAAGATGTGGTTGGATACTCATGGATCGTTTATATCCTCCAGTACAAAAAAGTTACATTGTACGTCCACAAAATGAACCATTTGATAATTACCTTCGCTTCTTTGATATTGTATCAGAGCTTGGTATTTATGGTGTTGTTATAGGGTAAATAATTTAACCTCTTCCTTTTTTTATATTGTTTTTATATTTATAAAATAAAAAAACAGCTATCAAATTTTTTTACAGAGACAGAGAAACGATACTATATAATGAAGAAGTAGGACATGTTTTAAGAACTAAATCTTCAGGTGAAAATGAAGGTGGTATAGCTGCAGGAATTGGTGCTATTGATAGTCCTTATCTTGTTAGTTAACGTTAGTAATTATTATATAGTTATGAAAAATTTAATATGTTTTGAACACAGAAGTTATATTTTAAATAATTAGATATTTGCATTATCTTAAAAAATGCTGTTGATAAAACAAAATATTAAATATGAATCACGGATAATTAATGTCAGAGAAAATGGTACAAAATAAAGATATTGTATCTTATTTTTATTGACTATGTATAGATAAATATATCGTATATTAAATATAAGTAGAATTAAATATTTGCATAAATAAATTCATAATTAAATTCACCTTATAAGTATCGTACGTTAATTCGTTATCAAATTAATTTATACTTCATTGTATTAAATAATGGTTTCGCTTATGTGCAAGTTTTTCAGCCTCATCGTCCGATCGATCAATATCCAGAATTTGTATTATATTGTTTTTATATCTTTCTATTTTCTTTTCATTTTGATTCTAAATTAAAAACGTAATTTAGGATGTATTCATTGTTTCCGAACACAATCTATTTACGTTACCATGTGCTCATCCGCTATTGGATTTATGTATTCATGTTCTCCTGGAGGTAATCCGGAAATGGAGTTCATCGAGGATGCAACTTCACTTCGTTGTTCGTACGCTGGATTTTGAAAATGAATGCTAAAAATGAAAAAATATGTAACTATTCAATTCTACAAAAGTATCAATATAAATTATGAATATCGTCGATTTACCTGATACTATTCTTATTCAAAATATGGGGTTTAAGTTTTTGGTAATAAATGTATGCGGACGCAATTATGATACAGGCTATCATCGCGATGATTATACCAATTAATGTTCCATTTTGTCGAACACCTTCGTTTCTTAGACTAAGTACACTCGAATCAAATTTAATTCTTGTATTCGAATTTTCTATACAATTATCATTTTTAGAATATCCGTCGTGACATATACACATGGCAGTATTGTTTCCTGATATGCACATGTAACTGCATTTATGTTTTTCACAAACGTTTTTTGCTGTTTGGCAGAACATAAGTTATGTTATTATTAAAGTAAAGACTATGGTATTATACAAAAGTTTATAGACTTTATATCTATTTCTAAAATAGAAGATAAGAGTTCATTATTTTTATTTCTACCTAAGTATATTAATAATTTGATGTTTTAATGCAATATAACCATACATTATAAATTGCTAATATCTTTTAAAATCGTATACAAAACGAAAAATACAAGAATGCAATAAAAGATGTAACAAATAGTATTGAAATTTGGTTTCATGTATGTTAAAAATTATGATGTAATTACTACTTGATTAACACTTTTATATCATCACATATTTCAATGTACTTTGAAATTATATTTAAAATTGTTCATTTTAAAATAAAAATATGCTCACCAGTGGGTTGCCTAGAAGTATGTAAAATTGTAAAATGTTTCTCAACATTTGAATTACCAATGGATATTTTTGTGCACGATTTATCCCCATATAATTTGCATTTTTTTGCTTCTCCGGTTGTACCCATTAACCAATATAAGGCATCTTCGTAGATATTAATGCTCAGAGCTTGATAAGCCTAAAACAATTTATTTATATAAGTATATTAATAAAATGATGCAATATATTATAACTTGTATACTTCATATACTTAAAGAAAAATATTCGTTATATGCTCCATGTTAAATATTTTCCTTAGATTACAAAAGATTTTAAGTTCAATTAAAAAGAAATATAGAAATGAAGTATTCCTGGTTGAATAAAATTATAGGCTACTTCATATGCTTCCAAGCTGTTGAAATTGTGCAATATGAAATTGTTGATTGATTGCTTTTATATGGGACAATATGAAATTCTACAGTATATACTGCAAAATCTATGTAACAATTTTTTATGAAAGGGAACATGGTCTTGAAATAATGTTTATTCAATTGAGCTAAATATCAAAGACGTTTTAACTAAATGATCAAACTGTGTTTATGTACAAGTGAGAAACAATTTAACAATGTAAATGAACTAAAAGATAATTTGAAGAAGTTATTTGAAAATTTAAGGTTCAGAAGTTTATAAATTCAAAGAATTTGAGAATATAAAAATTAAAAAGTTTGGAGATTTCGAAAATTTCCAAGTTTACATATTTGATTAAACTTTTTAAGTACTTTTTGTAAATCACTTACATCCGTTTTTAAGAATATCGCGCGATTGGAACCATCTAAATTTGCGGATTCAATAATTTTGAGGAAAGTGTCTGTCCAATATAATCTGGATCTGATGTAATCGATTGCCAGAGCATAAACAACACCCGTATTTCGAGATACTATTACTGTTGCGTTCGAACCCACGGTAGTAGATCGATATATTTTACTGGTTGGTACATCGTGTAGCATCCAATTAACTTGACTCCAAAACAGCCATCTGTGTAACAAAATTTTCATAGAGTTAAATTTATGTACTACTACTATAAATACGGAGTTCTTTTAAAATAATGGAAACACTTATCATATATAGATATTTGTTTAATTAACTCACTCGATACTAGTAAACCAATGTATTTATATGTATAAATATACAATATATTATAATACGAATTATTACGTATGAGTAGTACAGTCCTTAGCGTTGGGCAAACGGGGCAATTGCCCCTGGACCTGCGTTTAAGGGGAGACTGCTTTTAAACATTTAAATATTTAAATTTTCAGATTTAGAAATTTTTAAATAAGAAAATTTCTGTCTTTCCACATAGTAGCTCTTAAAAATTTGCAAACTTGGAAATATAATTCTCAAACTTGATAATTTATAGTTTTGAAAATTCCTAACTTAGTTATTTCTAAATTTGAAAATTTCTGAATCTTCATGTTTAACAATATTTTAATTGTTATAATTTAATTTAAAATTAAAAAATTATTAAATATGAAGATTTAGAAATTTTCAAATTTAGAAATAACAAAGTTAGAAATTTTCAAAATTATAAATTATCCAGTTTGAGAATGACATTTCCACGTTTACAAATTTTTAAGAGCTACTGTGTGGAAGGACCTCTTTATACATGCCAACTACATTACAATTTTATTGAAAATATTCCTAATACAACTTGCGTGTTTCCATCATTTTATGGAATTAAAATATAAATTCTGTAAATAAATTTAAATTAAAATATAAATATAAATAAATTCTATAATAAATACCCTTGTATTGGATGAACAGCAAGTGCCATAGCCCTCTTCCTTGACTCCATCGACACCACCTTGGCACATTTTTGCTGTTCTAAATTGCATACCTATAAATTATTAATAAAAATTGCTTAGTCGTGCGTGAGTGCCACATAGCATTGAATAAAGACCGTTTAATACCTTAATGCTGCTCAAGTGATCATTATCAGTAAAATATACATTGTCGGTAATCCAATCGACGGCAAGAGTTTCCGGTCTGCCAAGGCCGGTAACAATTTTTCGCTCCTTGCTCTTTAAATTTATTTTATTTATCGTATTGAACATATCTGGAGACAATAAAACGTTTATGTTTATGTTAGCTTTGTGCATATGAAATGCAATAAACGTTTATAATACGAAGAAATCTTTATTGGAGTTTAATGCACGATAATGTGAGAACTGATTTTGCACTGAAAGTAAACAGTATATATGTATAATGAACCAATTATCTGTGAAAAAAGCTGATGTCAAAACGTTTGTAAATTTCTTTGTAAAAGAAATTTAAAAATATCCTGAAGCAATGGCATTCTAAATTGGGATATTTCCTTTTTAACATGGAAACAGAAATAATTAAACTTGTTACAATTACTGCATACAACTAAATAGAAATAAAAGAGCATCATTTTTTAAGTTATTGCTAATAAGCAGAGTCTAATTATTAATTGTTAAAGATGGTACTATTTTCTTAACCGTTGGTTCTTACTCATTTTATCATTGTTTTAATAAGAGTATTTCTAAATAATTCTTAATATTACCGTTACTCCAGTAAACGTTTCTCTCTCGTGCGTTTACGTCGATGCCAGATACGTCAAAATCCACATTTCCGTAGAGAACTTCGATAGAACGCAAGTCTGCTGACAACTTTCTGATGTCAGAACCACTAACCGTGATCAACTCCATTTGCTGCCCTAATGATTGAATAGAAACAAAAACTTATTATATAGAATAACAGTAAAATAGACGCTTAAATTTTTATAGCATATTCTACTTGCCCTAAGGATGAAAGAAGCTTATATTGTATAACTATAGGTTCGAAATTATATCTATTTCTAGACATAAATAATTTTCAGTTTATAATTAAGCATTGTATAAATTCTGAACTTCAGAAATTTTGAAGTTTTAAATATTAAAAATATTTTAACTCTAAGATTATCAGACTTTGTAGCTTGGGAATTCTGAGAATTTAGATCTTTGGAATATTGAAATTTTGGAATATTCAGATTTTGAGATATTAGAATTTTAGGATTCGAGCTATTTTTGCGACTAGGATTTTTCAATTTTAGGATTTTTAAATTTCAGAAGAGTATTGGAATTTTTTGAACTTTGCATCTTAGGGACTATAGGACATTGGAGTACTGAAGTTTGTGACTTCGCAATTATTTAACTTTGAGACTACGGAATTTAGAAGTTTGAATTTAAAATTTTTAATTTTAGAATATTAAAATTTGTTAAATATTAAAAAAATTGTTAAATATTAAACATTTTCGATTTTTAAATTTTTCAATTTGTAGACTTCAGAATTTTAAAAGTTTAGGACTTTGGGACTTCGGAAATTTAAGCTAAGTCGTCACTTTTCATCTTGTACATCTTTCATTTGATTAAACGTTAAAAAAATTTGAGATACCTATGTAATTTTCCTTACCACCAACTTTGCAGGAAGTTCTATCGTTTCGCAGTACGTATTCCTCGAAGCAGGAACAAACAAAGGAACCGTCAGTATTATGACATATTTGCGAACAAACGTTTTGCTCACATTCATTAATATCTTCGCATGACTTTAAATCAGTGCTTAACTGGTAACCGCTTCCGCAACCACAGACGGGACCCAAAGGTGTTTTATGGCAGACATTTTTGCAAGGATCGTTCTTTGTACACGCGATTGCTGTAACAATATTTCAATATGTACATATAGTTATGAAATTAACCTGATATAAGTGCTATTACATTGTCGATCAAGAATTAACATTGTGTAAATAATATACGAAGATTGGCCAAAGAAACTGTGCTGATTTACAATTTTGAAATTTGAATTTTTAAATTTAGGAATTCCTAAGATCACAAATTCCGAAATTTTCACGATTATAAATTCTGTAATTTCGAAACTTCCAAATTTTCAAATTTACGAACTCTTAAATGCAGAAATTTTTAAATTTACGAATTCTTAAATGCAGAAATTTTTAAATTTACTTACTTTCAAGTTTAGAAATTTTTACATTTTTAAATTTGCAAGTTTTAAAAATCTTACATTTAGAAATTTAGTTTTTATAAATATTAATTGCTTTGGAATTAGACAAAGCAACAAAAGTTTTCTGTTAACTCTAATTTATACACCTATTTTCGTGAAACATTAACCTTTGTCGTAGTATAAACACCAACATACAATATTTGTACGTGATTAAATTATGTATGAGATTTGATGTTTCCAAATCGACAATTTGATGTTCACGTTTTTGTTACCACATACAGCATTGTCCAAATTCGTCGCTTCGATCCAAACAATCTGCTACACCATCGCACACTTTGCTAAAAGGAAGGCAGACTCCGTTGGAGCAATTGAATTCCTTGCAGTTCAAACTGTTGCCGATGGTTCTCATCTTCGTAGTACTACCGTCGCAACCCATTTCATCAGATCCGTCGCCACAATCATCTGCGTTATCGCAAACCCAGCTTGCGTCGATGCATTTTTGATTGTCGCATATATACTCTCCCACTTGACATCGGGGACAATTACGTTCGTCATCGTTTTTCGGGCAATTTTGAACACCGTCACATCTACAAAATGAAAATTGATGAATACAAATAAAAAATAGAAATACTGTTTGTTGTAGATTTTAAAAGTAATATGTGAGATCGAGTATGTTTGCTAAAATATTTGAGTTAGATTTAAGGATAAGACAAGGAATGTGAAATAATGGGTCAGTAATAATTTATAAACATCTTTTAGCTTTTCAGGCATGGTTCTACTTTAACATGTTATAAGTGTGTGTGTAATATATTAATACAGGTACATTATAACAAAACTAATAATTCAAAAATTCAAAAATACAAAAATACAAAAATACAACAATTCAATAATTCAATAATTCATTAATTCAGTAATTCAGTAATTCAGTAATTTAATACTTCAATACTTCAATACTTCAATACTTCAATACTTCAATACTTCAATACTTCAATACTTCAATACTTCAATACTTCAATACTTCAATAATCCAATAATTCAATAATCCAATAATCCAATAATCCAATAATCCAATAATCCAATAATTCAATAATTCAATAATTCAATAATTCAATAATTCAATAATGCAATAATTCAACAATTCAGTAATTCAATAATACAAATAATATAAAAATTCAAGAATTGAAAAATGAAAATTATTCATAAAATTCAAGTGTCCACAATCCATTTCAAAACTATAAAGTTTGCTTATTTATTTTTCAGCTTGTTTAATAATATAAAATAACATATATTCATGTTTTTCAAGATGATTCTGAATATCAAAGGTACATTCATTATTAAATCCTTCAGATATACATTTACATATTTATTTTTTACCACCATCTCAATTTCAAAATACCACAGTTTAATATTCAATCCTCAACAGAAACATATGTTCTCTCCCATATCTCCCAACTTCATCTTTAATTCCAGAATAAAGTACATTCCACGCTAAACCCTTTACACCTCTCCGCATATTCATTTTTCATCTTCATCCTCAATTTCAAACTAAGATATATCCTTAGATCCCCAACACAGATACGTTCACATATTCATTTTCCAGCGCCATTCTTAATCTTCAATAATTCAATAATTCAATAATCCAGTAATTCAAATAAAAATTTTAGGAAACTTCATATTTTTTAATTTGCAAGTGTTCAAATTTAGGAATGTATAAAACAGCAAAATTTTCGAATGAAAGGATTGTTAAGTATTAGAATGTAGAACATCAGAAATGAGGAATTCGGGGATTTAAAAATTTGAGGAAATTGAAATTTCTGGACTTGGAAATTGGAAAATTGAGAAAATGGATTCGACAATTGGAAAACTTTGATATTTAGAAATATAGGATTTTTGGGTAATTGAAAATGATAAAATTTTGAACTTGAAAATTTGATGTAAAAATCTCGTTCACATGTTTAATATAGATTAGTTTAATATTTCTCGCAGTAGGATTAAGCTGGTTTAAGAATAAATAATAAATTGCTATATTAAATAATAAATAATAAAAACTTATAACTCACTTTACAGTTTTTGGAAGGCACATTTCAGTACCATAACACTTATACTGGTCCCCAGTGCAGTTGACATAATTATTGTTATCCGTTTTATCGCAATACTGTTCATCAGAATTATCTTCGCAATCATTGATTCCGTTGCATTTTAATGACATATCGATGCAACGACCAGTGGAGCAAGTAAACATTTCGGTTGGACATGTAGTGATGGTACATTCCCCACTTTCGTCCGACTCATCTGGACAGTCAAACTAAATTAACAAAACAGATCAGAAGATTATGTAAATTATTTACTGATATGAATAAAATATATTTTTATTGTATACAATATATTTAGGGTGTTTTTAAAATGGTGGTACAACCGAAAAATGGGTGAATTAATGGCAAAATAAGAAAAAGAATAAAATTTGTTCGTATATGACTTAATTTTCAAGAAAATGGATTTTGAAAATTTTTGAATATCATAATTTGGAAAATAATAAAATCAGTAAATTGTTTCTGAATTCTACAATAAATAAATGTTACAAATTAGGTAATTTGACAATGTTAACATTCAGAAATTTTGAGATTTATCGATTTGAAAATTTTGAAATATTTAAAAATTTGGTGATTTAGGTAACTTGACATTTTTAAGAATGTAGGAAGTTGAAAGGTAAAAGAATTCGGAATTCGATAATTTAGAAATTTAAAAAATTGGAAACTTGGTAATTGAAAAGTTGAAAATTTAGAAAGCACGAAATGTAAAACTTTGAAAATTTGGAAATTGGAAAATTTAAAACATAGAAAATTAAAAAATTTTTAAACTCAGAATTTGGAGAGATAGAAATTTAGAACTTTGAGTAAATTTGAAAATGTTGGTATTTAAACAGATGAAAATCTTAAAGTTTGAGAATTAAGAGAACTGAAATGTAAAACTTTCAATTCTAAAAAACTTGAAAAATTAAAAGAAATTGTAACATGTAACTTTTAATTTTTAATTTTAAATTTTAATTTGGTAAAATGTAACTTTAAAAATTTGTAAATTTCAAATAGGAGGTACATAAAGTATCTTTATCCCCCTTGGTCCCTATCCAGTTACATCACTGTTTAGAACTCAAAAAAATAAGATGCCCATAGCACCATAAAACAACTCTTCTCTTTCATCATTAATCTCAAGTAGTATATCATCTCAAACAAATTATATAATTCGTGAAATAAACAGATATGAAACAAACAGAATAAAAATGTCGGACTTACCTCGCCATCGCATTTCCACGTTTTAGGGATGCACGTTCCGCTGTCACACGTGAAACTATTGTTGTCACACGTGTGTTTGTCGCAATTCAATTCGTCGCTCATATCGGTACAGTCGAATCGTCCGTTGCATACAAGATATTTTGATATGCATTCTCCTTCGTGACATTGAAACTCATCTGAAAGATATTAGGGCTACGGTGAATGATCGCTGGTTACTGACTCCTCGAGCATTGCGTATAGACTTTATTCGGCCCGTACGATATCGAATACCGTTTTTCGATGCCAATGATTCACTATAAAACTTTATTCGTTCTGGTTGCACAAACCTGAAGCGTTTCTTATCGCGAGAAATAAATTGTGAGAGTCTTAATAAATGTAGCTACGAATAAGGTTGCCAACTATCGATTCGACACTTGTCTCCGTCTCTATAAACAATATAGTCCAGGGAAATTACATGAAAGTATAATCAATCTGCAGAATAATTCCTAACAAACTATATTTTTTCATTTAATCCTGATGCTAAAAATAGTATAGATGGTCAAATGCTGAAACAGATCAGTTTTTCGCAAGTATCTCTTTATCCATCACTTCCACGACATAAATAGTCATTATAAAAATTGTAGCTTGAGGGATTCTCTATAAAAAAGTTCTTCTAGGTTTTTTTGCAGAAGTAATCGTTTTCGAGATATTACGTGAATAATATTATAATTCGCAGCAATTAAATTCTGAAGATTGAGGATGAATAATGAGGAATTATTTGAGGAATAACGTATTGTCACTTATTTTAGATATTTTACTGAATGCAATTTTTGCAGTTGCTCCAAAAATTCTGTAGAAATTTGTAATTGTAGAAAAATTATTTATCAGACTGTGGTTCTTGCAGTGATTCATAACTTGTTGAATCGATATTGAATGAATTAGTTAATAAGTAAAAATATATTTGATTTGATATTGTGACTAATTTCAGTGTGTCTAATACAATTGAAAAAAAATGTGAACAGTTACTAAGAGCTAGATGAATGGAATAATTTTGATTGAAGTGAGTAACGCAGAAATATTCGATATCGAGTGAAGATCTCAAAGTCAAAGTGGATCCTCCCTAAACTGGAAACGTGATCCTTTTACTTCTAATGAAAAAATATCGTAGTGTAAGCCTAAAAGAGATATTGCGTTAAAAAAATTGCTTTTAGAATTCAATCCTTTATGTGATGTATTTATGTATTATTTCTCAGATTTATGAAGGTTAAAAGTTAGACCATCTCTCACAAAAACAGTTACCCTTACAAAAAAACCTTTAAAAACCTTTTTTGTCGAGAATTTTCTAACTTACAAATTTTGTTATATCTATTCTTGTCGTAGAACTGTTAGATAACGAGATATTCACGAAAAATTATTTTTTATGCTTGATCTTTCGTTGAACCGTGTCAATTTTTTTGTTGACAGGTGGAAATTATTCATATATTGTTTATTAAATATGAAATTGTTAATTCAAAAATATAGCAAGCTGGAAATTATTCAGCAGAAAAAATTTCCCTGAACATTAAAATAGAAAAAGTAGATGATGATGGTGGAGATGATGATGGCAATGAAGTTAACAGTCTTTTAACTGTTAATTAAATTACGATTACGAAATTACAGTCGAACCTCGACAACTCGTAGCTCTGTAAGACTACAGTTTTGTTCATTCCCTTTCTGCTTTGAAGACCTTTACAAATCGAAACATAAACTTACTTTAACTCGAACTGTTTACCGTAACTTGATTTCAAAGGAGTCTAACCCCTGCAAATCGAAGTTTACTTCAATCAGACAAAGTTTTATCATTTCTGGTTCTACAGTTTGAAGTAATGGGTTTACAAGGTGTTCCACACAATTAGACCGAGCTACAGTTCTAAAAGGGAAAAAGGAACAGAACATTTTCGTGGGATAAAATTAAATGGTGTCGAATGGAGTGTCACGTGACGCACGTACGAGTTCTGCAAGGCACTTTAAAGATTTTTTAAATTTTATTTTGATTCTATTAAGTGGATTTGCATATTTTTCTTCTAAAAGAACGAATTCTTCGGAATATTTTTAATATATAAAAATAATAAGGATGTTGTTAAAAAATATTTTAAACTCTAATTGCACTTCAAACTATTTTAAACTCTAAAAGGAAATTATGTTTGATGTAGTTTGATATTTAATATTAGCTATTAAAAATATATAAGAAGCATTTATACGGAAGAGTTAAGGTTTGTTGAACAGTTATTCTAAATGTACGATTATGGCTGTAAGCACATTTTGTGCAAGTCATACTAAATATTCACTGTGCAAAATATTTGATATTTGTTTTCTTCCTCATTTGCAGAATATTATGTCAGTTACTCTGCACTTTTTAGCCAAAATTAGAAGATGATTTGTGATGTACGATTTTGGTTGACTCACTGTAGTAGATACACAAATGATTAGCTACTAAAACTTGAATATCTTTTCTTAAATTTCTAAAATTCGAAAATTGTACAGTTTGTACAATCAATCCTTATACAAACGTTTAACCGGTACTTTCGTTTTCTCTCTTTAACTTAAACTTTGATAAAATTCAACCCAATATCAGTTTTTGATGAGGTTCGAGTTACCGAGGTTCGACTGTGTTCAAGAACGACGGTTTAAATCATTATCAAAACACTATGGTTTCAAATAATGTTAATTTATTGAATCAGATTAATATTCGAGCTTGCGGTACTTATAATTGCGAGTATCGCTATTCAATAACTTAATTCCTTGATATCCAAGGACTCGATCTATACAATTGTTTTATATACACAGTATATAATGGCTAGCATAAATTTGCGCTAACTTCAGACAGTCTTGTTATTGTAGACAAAAACGTTGTAAATAATATTGAGTAAATGATTTGATTTACTAGAGTTGCATTCGATTTTATCGCAGTCCTCCTCATCCGAGCGATCCATACAATCATAATGGGAATTGCAAAGTTTCGTCTTGCTGATGCATTCTCCGCTTTTACATCGGAACTGATCATGTTCGCAGTTCGACCAAACAGGTTCCTCGCAAATGCTCGATTCGTCTTCACCGTTTGGACAGTCTTGTACGCCGTCGCATCTGAAATCATTAAAGAACATTGGATTTCAACGACATGTTTATATAGGTCAATGACTTTCAATTTTGTAATAAATTGTAATAAATTATAATAAATAATGTATCACTAACTAATAATGTATGACTATACTAAAAATAGGGAAATTTACTGTAATTTATTGTGACTTGCGGCGCCACAACTTACTACCGATAGCTTTGGTGCGTTTTTCAAATGATTAAAACGACCAATGCGCAAAAGCATCTTTTTCTCGTTAGTTCTTGCTGCAATCATAGCTTGTTTTTGCTTTCAATTTTGAATATGAAGAAAAACATAGCAGCGGAATAACAGAGAAAGTGTGCATCGGTCCTAATCGCATTTTATTCCATGATCATTCTAACCGTGCGCAAAATGTCACGAAAAACGCCACAATTGATCCAAACGCGTTATTTGAATTGAGTGGATGAAACAAAAATACGGAAAATATATTTTTGTACTGGGTGATTAAACGTGTGTCTGTTGTATATTTTTTATCAAGTAAATAAAGGAGTTGTTTTTGTAGTTAGATTAATATCAAAAGGGAATACCTGTATAAATGGATATTCGTAGATATTTTTGTTTCAAGCAGGCGCGGGTAAATTTGAATTGAATATATAGATTGTGTGTATCGTAGATTTGTCATAGTTTTATTGAGTTATATGTATACGAATCTATATTCCAGTGATTTGAATAATTTAACTACGCTAATTAGTGTAGTGTAGTAAACTGAAAAATTATTTAATTTCTAAATTGTTATTATTTGAAGTATTAAATTTTCAAATATTTTAATCCTAAAATTCCCAAATTTTCAAATCCATAAATTCCTGACTTTTTCTACTTCCCAAACTTTTAATTCTCCAGATTTCCACATTTCTGGATTACTAGACTTTTGTATTTGTAAATTTTCTAGTTTTTAAATACTTCAATTTTGAAATCATCAAATTCATAAATTTCTCAACTTTCAAACTTCTAATTCTACAAGTTCAAAAATTTTTTAACTTTTAAACTTCTAACTCTCCAAATTTTTCGGATTACTAAACTTTTGTTTTCCAGTCTTCAAATTTTCAAATTCTTAATTGTGCAAATTTCTAAATTTCAAAATCTTTGGTAAGTGGTTTTCGTTTTCGTACATATTTTGATGTACAATTTTGTTGTCATAGACGTCTGTAAATTGCAGAACCATTTCCTCTGAAGGATTGTAAAGGTGAAACTATTCACTACATGTACGGTATTTTTAGGAAGTCTGTAGAATCGCAGAACACCATTTATCGGGAGATTGATCGGTTTAAACTAACAGAGAGTTCTCTGAAAAATGATCAAAGAACTAAGCGACTATAGGATGAAATTACAGGGAGCAATGTTACGAATGGATTTAAAACGATACCTCCTACATTTTGTAAAGTTCTAAAAGAAAAATGGTATGTTCAATAGCAGCAATATGTTGATCTAAATAATTTACAGTTAAAAAACTTACAATGGAATATTGATAAATGTAATTTGAAAAAGATGTAATGAAATTGCATTTCATTCGAGTTCTAATTATTATAATGAAATGTTGGTAATTTATTGATTAAACTTTTATCTAAAGCAGAAATCGTATTGGACTGTTTTATTATTTTGTTTAAATGAAAGATATGTGTCTGCCTATCTGTTTTAAAAGAATGGAACGTTTTAGTATTTTATTATTCTATTATTTTATTGACTGTTATACTATTTTAATATTTTACTATTTTGCTGTTTTGCTATTTTGCTATTTTACTATTTTACTATTTTACTATTTTACTATTTTACTATTTTACTATTTTACTATTTTACTATTTTACTATTTTACTATTTTACTATTTTACTATTTTACTATTTTACTATTTTACTATTTTACTATTTTACTATTTTACTATTTTACTATTTTACTATTTTACTATTTTACTATTTTACTATTTTACTATTTTACTATTTTACTATTTTACTATTTTACTATTTTACTATTTTACTATTTTACTATTTTACTATTTTACTATTTTACTATTTTACTATTTTACTATTTTACTATTTTACTATTTTACTATTTTACTATTTTACTATTTTACTATTTTACTATTTTACTATTTTACTATTTTACTATTTTACTATTTTACTATTTTACTATTTTACTATTTTACTATTTTACTATTTTACTATTTTACTATTTTACTATTTTACTATTTTACTATTTTACTATTTTACTATTTTACTATTTTACTATTTTACTATTTTACTATTTTACTATTTTACTATTTTACTATTTTACTATTTTACTATTTTACTATTTTACTATTTTACTATTTTACTATTTTACTATTTTACTATTTTACTATTTTACTATTTTACTATTTTACTATTTTACTATTTTACTATTTTACTATTTTACTATTTTACTATTTTACTATTTTACTATTTTACTATTTTACTATTTTACTATTTTACTATTTTACTATTTTACTATTTTACTATTTTACTATTTTACTATTTTACTATTTTACTATTTTACTATTTTACTATTTTACTATTTTACTATTTTACTATTTTACTATTTTACTATTTTACTATTTTACTATTTTACTATTTTACTATTTTACTATTTTACTATTTTACTACTATTTTACTAAAAATATGTTCAATTGTAGTTTAGATAGAATTTTAGAAGTGCATACATTCAGTGATTATAGTAAATGACTCCCTGCTACAACAGTTATTTCAATAAGAAATATTCATCTCTTGCATCCCAAAACAGGATCATTTTGACACAATACATATATACTTATTGCTTTCGTATGTACCATTTACTTTTATGTACATGTTATAGACAAAGTATAAAATATTGCAATATATGTAATCTATACAATATAAATACATATGGAATCCAGACTTTATTTGCGTTTCCATATTGCTTAATTGTTTATTGTTAAATACTAATTATTTATCGTCATTATCTACAATATAATAAATTTGTATAATATACTACTATACATTACATTGTGAATGTTTAAAAACAGTAACCCAATTTCTATACAGGTGAAATTCGTTTTGAGGATGAAATAATTCACAAGAACTAAAAATGATTCGGTTTTATGTGATTGATTTTATATATTAATAAATTGCCTAATGCACTTTGAGTATCTATTTGCTAGACCATTTTTTATCTAGAAGAAGAATATAATACTTTAAAATCATTATAACTTACACTGCCAAAAATGTACATATAGTACATTAGCCTACGTCTTATACTTTGTGTATAACATTCACATTCATTTTGTTATACTTAAAGTCACGCGTCAGAATAAATACTGCACTTCATAAACATTTTATAATAGCATTGTTAGAGGTCAAAATGATTCTGTATTCACATATCCGCTTTCAACGGTCAAAAAGAAGATCAGGGAATTTTTATTATTAAAATAATTTTATCCAAACGATATGTTCAAACGAAATGCAGTTCTATATACAGATGTCCACATAGTTAAAAAATGAAATATCTAACCCTGATTCTACTTTCGGGTTCAAGCTTAAAATTCATCACATGATCTTCCTTTCGGGCCGTTCAATCTTCCTCTCAAAACAAAGTAAAATATTCTATGCAATCTTAATGATGTACCTTTGATGCATTTTTATGCATACATCGTGTTCGCTGCATTTGACCTCGCCTGCTTTGCACGCGGTTTGAGGGCTGCAAGTTCGATTATCTGCGTTCAACATCATATCCGGTGGACACGCACAAATCTGAAAATTTACATGAAACGTTAGGGGAAAAAGCTATCAGAGTCGTGGAGATTATATTAATTGAGTATTACGCTTACGTGTGAACGAAGATTAGATACTAGGCACACGTGAGAACAATTTCCATTGTTTTTCCAACACTCGTGCTCCTTTATATATGGTTTATGCACAGCTACAACTTGTAATTCCTTTTCTGGTACGTCTAAAATGGGAGGTATTAATTTATTAATCACTTTCGTACAATTTCTGATTATATTTTAATTCTATCGAGTTGCTCGAACTGTTTTCATTTTTTAAATAAGCCTTCATTAATAGAAATGTAATAAAGTTAATATAAATTTTGCATTTTGTTTGCCATAAATTTTGCTAAAACAAAATGTAATAAATATTATTAATCTTCTATTATATTTTGTTACATTATATTTATTATGCTATATAATATATTATGAAATTTTCGTCGTGAAAGTGTCGAACATAAATGAGTAGAAAATTTAAATATTTAAATGAAATGATCTTTAAATATTTTAGTAAAAAATATTTATTTATTATTAATAATAATATTGAAGATCAAAGAAAAAGAAGACATAAATAACGTAACAAGAATAGCTTGATAAGCTCATCATTCTTCCAGAATATCTAATCACAAAAGAATGTTCTGTTGATTTTGTAACATTTGTTTGTACAGAAGATATATTACTCTTCTTTCGTATATATAGGGTGACCCATTTTACTGTACAATTTTCATCTACATTATTCAGTACTCGAAATAAAGTTCCAAATAAAAAGGAACTCAGTTTTAAAAGAATCATATTATGAATAAATGTTTATCAAAGCATTTTTATGAATTTATACTTTTTCTAAATAGATTTATGATTACATAGGCATAGTTTTTCTATATGGATCAATTTTATATAAAATTAATGTACAGTAACAAGTAGCTTAACAGATCGTGAAAAAATTAAAATTCAAAATCACTTTTTCAACAAAAAAATGTCAAGAATGTTGATTTTTATAATATCAAAGTAATGTAAAAGAAAGTATTTTAAATTTCAGATGCGAAATAAAATTCGTCTTGAAAAAGAAATATCTTTAACTGTACAAAATTTGTGACTATACTATGTTTCCTTTGAAATTTATTTTCAATATTTTTTCGAATAAATAAAAATTCTAGAGATAATAACGTTTACAAATTAAAATGGGTCTCTGTATAACAGTAAAATAATTACGTTCTTTTCTAAAGCAGTGACAGACTAAAGTTAAAGAGTTAAATCTAAAGCTGAGAAAATAAAAAAAAACAACAATGGGATTTGAACTTGTGACAAAAATATTACTCTGCTTAATATACTTATATATGACTTTGCTAACTTCTCCATTATCATTTTTGGTAAAAATGTTCACATTTCAGAAGATAACGAAATGTAGCAACATCAATGCTAAATATCTCATAAATTAATAACTGTTTGCCCCAAAACTGGGTAGCATTAGCTTCTATTTTTCTGTCGTTATGCGAAGGTTTATCAAAAAGACCAGAGTTATAGGTCGAAACCTATACTGTAGGGAGTCTATATCAATATACCCACATGAACCAGTTAAGTGTGTTTGACGACTATATCCGTCATGGAGATGTAGCAGAATTTTGTGTCATGACGACTATATCCGTCATGCGTAAAATTTTGTTACAATTTGATGTTTAAATTGTAATTTTGGCGAAAACTAAATTATATTCGTAAATTGTAATATGTTTAAAATGTTTAGAGGCCAACACGAAATGGAATAAATAAATAAAAAGTGTAAATGATTTGAGATGGATTCATAAATTCTTGAGAGCTAACTCGTCATCGCTTGATTATCGCGACAAACACTGGTGCGCGTTTTGCAAAATGATCGCCACAGTTAACTGGTTAAAGTGCTATATCTTAAAAATGAAGTGTTAATCTTAAAAATACAGGCTTAGAAATAAATCCCGAATATTTAGACCACATCGTCTACTCCATTTCCAATATCATTTACATTATGTTCCGAACAGTTCACTTTGGTGCGTTAAAATTAGATAAACATCCACGATCCATTACGAACCACTGTATTAACCAGCCAACTCTATTTTATCGATCAAACGTACGGTTCGGGTATTTTGGGTAGCCGTAATTCTATTATTACCGACCTAATCGAGTACCTGATTATCTCCCTGTTAAGAGCTTTATGCGAACATTCGTTTAATTTCACTCACCTAACGTAATGCGTTTCTGATATTGTAGCAGATCCCTTTTATCGGTCCAGTGTAATTGATTCGATTTGTACTCGGTCCAAAACACGTAATCATCGAGAATAGCGAGACTCAGAGGTGCTGATAGTCCACTGCGAAAGATGCGGGTCTCTAAGCCTGTAACGTAACGTTAATATTCTTCATTAATTGCACAAATTCCTGAATTTGAACCAAATGCTAAATTAAACCATAACTTTTCGCATGTAATTTCATTTGATCAGTTGTCGACGTTAACAGTCGACACACGTTAACACAGAGTTGCTCACATGTTGCTTAATAACACGAACATATATTTCATTTTGACGTTGGTTTATGTAATTTGTAAATGTAATAAATGTTTTGTTTTAATGAAGGTTTATGTAATTTGTAAATGTGACAAATATTTCATTTTGATGTACGTTTATGTAATTTAAAAATATGACAAATGTTTCATTTTGATGTAGGTTCATGTAATTTGCAAGGGTAACAAATGTTTCATTTTGATGTAGGTTTATGTAATTTAAAAGTGTGATAAATGTTTCATTTTGATGTAAGTTTATGTAATTTTTAAGCGTGAAAAATGTTTTATTTTGATGTTGGTTTATGTAATTTGAAAGTGTGACTGTAATTTCATTACTAAATTGTACAAGCTGTACCTTTTCAGTAGTAGATAAATTCTAAATTTTTATAAATGTAATTTCTTGAGGAGATTCATATCTTTGATCACACTATTGCAATTTATTATATATTATTTAGAAATATAGAAATTTTATGATTTGGAAATTTGAAGAAATTAAAGAATTTGAGAAATTTAGGAAATTTCAGAAATTTGAAAATCTGCAAATTCAGATACTTGAAAATTAAAGAAATATACAAATTTACAAATATAAAAGTATGAGAGTTCAGAAACTTCGAAATTTGGGTATTTGAAAGATTTTGAAATTTGATACTTTGACCCAATAAAAATATATAATTATGTCTATATGAACTATAAACAATTCTCCGTGTAATAAGATAAACTAGCAGGTATTTATTGAACGAACGCTGTATTGTTTTAGTACGATAGATCGTTTTCAATCATATTAGGTCGAGTCATAAGTAACTTCCGATGCAGCTAAATAGATTTTATTGTGTGTGTGGTGAGATTATGAAGGTATAAGTCACCACGAGTTGTTGAAGTCAAATTTAACGATTACTGCGGATAAATACATTCAGCAATTGCAAAGAGTGCAAGAGAAACTCCTAGAAAAGCGCCCTGCACTCGTCAATCGCAGAAATGTCATTCTTTTACACGACAACGCGCGACCGCATACAGCAAGGGTGACTCAAGAAAAAATTCTTGAGCTTGGATGGTCTGTTTTACCATATCCATCTTACTTCTCAGATCTTGCCCCGACAGACTACCACCTTTTCTGTTCCTTACAAAACTTTTTAAATGGAAAAACCTTCAATTCTGAAGAGCAAGTCAGGCAAGCTGTTGAAAGCTTCTTCCAGTCCAAACCAACCACATTTTACAAGGAAGGAATTGATAAACTACCAGAAAAATGGGAGAAGGTTATAGAAAATAGTGGTGAATATGTAATAAAATAATATAATTTTGTTGTTTAATGAGAACGAAATAAATGTCTGATAAAAAAACGGAAGTTACTTATGGACTCGACCTAATAATTTGTCCTGTGAAAAATACTAACCATTGACTGCCGTAGTACTGATGCGACCAGTGCCTTGATCGCTCCAAAACAGTAGTTTTAAATCTCTGTCGTAGGTTAAAGATATTTTTGGTCCTAATAGCGGGGTTCTCATTCCTTCGATGGAAATTCTAATGCCGAGTCCATTCATTTTCAATAGATCTATGCGATACTTTCCATTGTCATGGAAAACAACGAACATTATTCTGTAACAATAATACGCAACATTAAATACTGTCTTATTCGTTCAGAATTCATCAACAAAATGGTTACCCTTCTTCCGGTGCGAGTGCAATATCATGAGGTTCTTCTTGGAAGTAAAAAATCGTTTTTTGCACGGTATGCATACTATGCACTTCGATAGTTTTTTGTTTTATATCCGAAAAATATAAATTATTTCCCACGTAATCGTAATCCATTCCTCCTAATATTTTGTTCTCGAGGGATACTTTGGCATCCAGATTACCGTCATTAATGTCGAAATGGAAAACTTTATCCTTTAGTTGATCGCTTGCGAACATGCCACCTGTATCAATTTCCGTTTAAATATTTAATAGAGATTAAAATTTATACAATGGTTTAAGCAGAATTATTAAAACATTCGGATGAATGCGAAAATAAAATGATTAAAAAGCAGAAGACGTGTGTACCATGCTACAATTTCATTGTAAAAGATCTTCTGTTCTTTGAAGAAATTATTTATTAACTCTTAGCATGCAAAGGTGTAGCGATTAATTTTGTTTAGCAATAGAGTCCTTCAGAAAACGCTTTTTGTTGCAATCTTATTTCTTCAATCATTTTATGATGTTTTCGATTGTAACAGTTCTTTTGCAAACCAATGAAAATAGTACCAAATATTGCTAATTTTATTTGTTACAAGATGTTTATTTTTGGAATAAATTTTCTTTCTCATATAGAAAATAAGCTGTAGTTACGAACGGTATTCGTAAGATCACAGTAATAATAATATGTAACGAAAAAAATAAAATATGAAAACTTATATTTATGAGTCATATTTATGAGTTTTATGGTCTTTGATATTTAATAATAGACGTATTAACGATTTCATGATTTTTGTTCATAAAGTATTTATAAATATTATTCACACTTTTATATTATTTTATCATTTGTCAAATGATATAAAGCAAATATCTATTATGGACAAGTGATTCAACCTTAGCACGCTAAGAGTTAAGAGCAGTATTGGTATATGTTCGTTGTAACAGAATTTATACGACGATCGATTATTAAAACCGTACCAGTACGAGGATTATATGCAATCGCAGTAACGTCTTTCAATGCATCACTTATTTTCATTTTTGGCTTTCCTAGTAATTCGTGATGATAATCAATGAATCGGCTCCCTGTCGAAATAATGAGGCGCATCTCTTTTTTGATCGCTGAAATTCAAAAATTTAAATATGTGTATAATTTTATATTGAAAAAGAGCTATAAGTTTTGGAGTTTCGTTCAAAACATTGATTCGATGAAAATATTATAAATAAAACTCGAAATAAGAAATAAAACTAAAACTAGAAAGTTACAATTTAAGAAACACAAAATTTAATTGTTGGTAAGAAAAATTAGAAATTTTCAGATTTTTTTTTTAGTGTAATAGGTATAGTTTTGTGTCAATGCAATTTTTAAAATAATAATTTATTTTATAATGAGAGAAAGCGATTGTGACGATTATTATTAGACTCAATATTTGTAATCTTATGAAAAAATATAGCTTTCAAAAATAAAAGCAAAAATTATGTTTACAAATTTTGTAATATCTACTAAACTGAATAACGAAATATTAAATCGAGGTTTGGTGGTAAAGCAGCAACTTTTGAAACAGAGGGTGGTGCGTTTGAGTCTTGTTACAAATGTATCCGTTTTTCTTTTAATTTTATTGTCTTTATATTTCCCTGAATAGTTATTTTATTTTTTCAACTAAATTGATGAGGAACCCTATATTTAAACTGTTGTGCAAAATTAATAAAAAAATTACTCAATTCAAATTGATCATTTGTTCTATGCACACAATGTTATTATTTATGTGACAAATACTTTTACAGTACCTAAGTATCATTTGAATTATTATAAATAAATTTTAGGAATTGTTTATTGGTGGTTTTTTTTCATAAACAAAATTGTTCCTATTAATATTAATATTATATATGAATAAGTAATATAATTAGTTTTGGTTATTAAACTGTAAAAATGTGTTTTTTCATTAATTTTACTGGAAAACAAAGTAATTTTATATTTCATCACGTTGGGTCAATGATCATAGTAATCGAGGCCCTTATAAAATCAATCAATCAATCAATCTCATCACGCGACTTGAACTTGTGATCTTTTGTTTTGAAGGCTGCTACTCTACCGCCAGTCTATTATCAGTATACTAATTTCTATTCCATTTAAATAATTAATCAGATATAGCGAAATTTCTAAATATGAATATTTCAGTTTTATGGTCCCCTATTAGTGTACAAAGTTTTAACCGAAACGGTAATGTCACAGTCACCTTTCCTTATAAATCCCTAGTTTCTTCCAAATAATTTACCAAAATTTAATTAAAAATTATAGAATTATGTCTTAAAAATTACTAAAGCTAAAAACTCATTTGAATTGTTCGATTTTTATAATTTATTATAAATAACACTTACCGCGACAAGTGCGATGATCCGTATTCAGTTCTTTGTCTACTGCGCAAGCGCAAGTATAACTTTTCTCTGAATTCAATAAACACAATTCAGAACAAGGACGCGCGTTACATGGATTGTGCATCTGTTAACATTTTCATCATGAAGACCAGTGAAACAACAAAAATAACGTAAAAAAATGGAAAATATACCTTAGGCTTCAAAACGGAGTGATATATGTGTATTCCATAAATGGTGCTATTCGTATCCACCAAAATATTCCAATCTTTGCCAGTATATTTATCGCAAGATTGTATAGTATTTGACATCCAATCGCTCCAGTATAATTTATCTTCAAACACAGCCAAGGAAAATGGTCTCTTTGCTATTCCTCTTAATACAATCTGAAAAAAGAATCTTTCATGTTATCATCTATCACTGAATCTTTGAGTATCATTAACCAGTTAACTGTGGCGATCTTTTTGCAAACCGCACACCAATGTGTGTCGCGATAATCAAGCAATGACGAGTTAGCTCTCAAGAATTTATGAATCCATCTCAAATCATTTACACTTTTTATTTGTTTATTTCATTTCGTGTTGACCTCTAAACATTTTAAACATATTACAATTTACGAATATAATTTAGTTTTCGCCAAAATTACAATTTAAATATCAAAATTGTAACAAAATTTTACGCATGAAAGATATAGTCATCATGACACAAAATTCTGCTACATCTCCATGACGGATATAATCGTCAAACACGCTTAACTGGTTAAATAATTGTTCTAATTAAATGCATACCCTACGGTCTGAGCCATCAAGTCCTACTGATTCGATGATTTTTAATTTACTATCGACCCAGTATAATCTGTTACTCGCATAATCGATGGACAAGCTATTTGGCCATTCCAAGCTGTCGACTATTAATGCACTACTATTTTTTCCATCCATTCCTGACATTAGTATACGAGATTTTGCACCCCATTCGGACCAGTACATTATACTGAAAATAAACGAGTTTTTCGATTATTTGTTATTAACATTTTTATGTTAGCTTTTATAATAAAGATGCTTAAAGTGTTTCGATCTTTTGATCGAGATAAAATTGAGATTGAAAGGGATGTTATTTTATTTACACCTCTTTGTTTTGCAATGTGCGTTATACATGAGATGGTTGTGAAAAAATAATGCTTACAGAAGAAGAATTTGGAATTTTTTAATTTTTGCGTTTTGGATCTTTGAAATTTTGGAATATGGATACTTTGAGATCTTTTAATTTTTGCACTTCAAAGTTTTGGATTTGAATTTTAGAAGATTGAGGTTTTAGGACTTTGGGACTTCGAAACTTTAGAATATTGAATTTTAGGAGTTTCGGATTTTCGAATTTTGAAATTTTAGATTTTTGAAATTTTGGAGTTATGAAATTTTGGAGTTATGGAATCTTAGAGTTATGGGATTTTGGAGTTATGAAAATTTGGAGTTGTGGAATTTTGGTGTTATGCAATTTTGGAGTTATGAAATTTTTGAGTTATGGAGTTTTGGACTTATGAAATTTTGGAATTATGGAATTTTGGAGTTAAGGAATTTTAAAGCTTTGAAACCTTCGTGCCCTGGAATTTTAGAACTTTCGAACCTTGAGACCTAAGAAATTTTTGAGTGCTCTAACTTTAGGAATTTGAGACGTCAAAACTCTGGAATTTTTTGACTTAGGAATTTTGAAACTTTAAAACTTTAGAAATTTGCAATTTTCGAATTTTGGGACTTTCGAAGAAAATTTTTAAATCCTGGGAATTCGAAAATTTCTAAATTTCAAATAAAAGGTATACGAAGTATTTTAAGCTTAGTACATGATGTATGCTAATATGAAGTATATACGATGTATATAACAAACTTGATTATAAATTGAAAAATTAACAATTTCATGGATAATAAAAATACATAACTATTAACACAAAACCTTAATAAAATAAATAATCCATGTCAGCAAGACCCTCTTGACCAGTTAACTGTTACATTTCACCAGTTGCCATTTCTTCATGAGTATATATGTGTGTCAAAAACAGCTAACTGGTCAAGTGTAGTACAGAGTTTTGAGCCAACCATTTATTTTTGACAGGTATACTAATTAATTTTCTGTGAATGACTAATATATCACTGTTTTTATACTGACCCATTCGATGGTAACAAGGCCAGACCTCTTGGTTTTTCCTTTCGGTCCCTAATTAAGATAGTACAATAATTTCCGTCGTTAGAGCAAACTCCAATATGCATGTAACCGCTGTCTGTGAAGTATATGTTACCAGTCACCCAATCCACTGCTATATCATCCGGACTTTTCAAACCTTACAAACGTAGAAAAACAAAAATTTAGTTTTATAGATATACTTTTTAATTTAATTATTAGATATACTTTAAAAACTTAGGACTTTGGGATTTGGAGCATCGAAGTTTTGAAATATTTGAATTTTAAGGATTTGGGATTTTAGGACTTTGTTTCTTCGAGTTTTATAGACAGAAATAAAGTTCTCGAGTTCTTCAAGATCTATCTACAAAACTCGAGGAAACAAAGACCCAAACCCTTAAAATTCCAATATTCCTAAACTTCAATGTTCGAAACTTCAAATGTTTTCAAATTTTGTAAATAGCAACAAACAAACTGTGGTGAACAAACACTGAGTAACGATCTTCACTAATACATTATAAATTATTATAACTTTTATAATATTATAATTATTATTTGTGACAAATAATACAATATACCTGTTGTAACAATGACTTCTCGGTGTGTGCCATCCTCCTGACTTTTGGTTATTGCTTCCACTCCATCCTGAATGTCGGACCAATATACATGATCCGCATCCACAGAAACAGCCACAGCATGTTGTAAATTCTGAGCTACATCATAGTACAGCTGAGATTTGAGATACAAGCCACGGATTTCAGATTTAATCGAAAACACCATCACAGCTTCGCCACCTGCAAATCAATGATTTAATTAGAAATGGAAGGAACTATCTACTAATCAATGGATTAATTAGAAACGTGTTTCTAATGTGTTTCTCTCTCGTGTTTCATCATTTATAAATTAATATTTATTCTGAAGTTTGAAATAACTTGCAAACAATTTCTTGATCTTTAAATACCGATTAAAATTTTGCAGAACTGCAGAGGACATCGAAAGAAATAATTTTGCAAACTTAAAGTGCGCAATTTTTGCAAAGTAAAAAGAAAATTTTAGTTTAAAATTCTTGTAATTTATTCTTCTCTGTTTGAGAACATAATGAAGTTAAGAATGTATTATTAAAGCTCAATGAAGCTCAATGAAGACGTGGTTGTTTTATTATACTGAGTGTTGCGTGTTTAAAACTCACAGGACTTATAAAAAGTTGTCTTTTTAATTTCTTTACTCTCTATCATTTTATATTAAAATTAATTAGCAAACAAATACTTTTAAAAACGAATGGAAAAAGATTCAATGAAAAAATCTCTTGATTTAATTTTCTGTTACATAACAGGACATTAATTTCTTTTTCCATTATTTTTCTTGCTATTCGTTTTAGAAATGAAAAGAAATAATTAGCAAAGTTTAAATAATATTGAAGTACAAAATAAAATAGTCAGTTTAAGGACGTACACCAAGTTTTACAGAAAGTATGGTTCAGTTATTATTTCTAAAATAAAAAATAAACAAAATTTACGTACCGTCGGCGTAACAGGTTCTACCATCATCATTTAATAAATAGCCGGAATGACACGAACATTTGTATGATCCAGCACTGTTTATACACTGTTGATCACATATTCCAAAAATTTCGCATTCGTTCACATCTGCAAAAAAAGGAAAAAGTTTTATATATGTAGATGTATTCTTTTATTTTAAACATAAATTCTTGAAAGGTTTTTATCATCAATTTTTAGAAATTATCAATAACCATAGGAATATTGATTTAGATCATTTTACTTATAATAATTTAATAACGATTCATTTATTTGAATAGTTGGGGAATAAACGATTTAGATAACTATGATATTTGAATAATGGAAATTAGGATTATTAAGCAATTTTCAAATTCTAAAATTTCGGGATATAAAATTTTAGTATGAGGATATAGTAATTTGAAAATATAGAATTTTCGGAATTTGGAAATTTGGAATTTAAAAATATAGAAATTCGGAATTTGGAAAGTGGGAATTTAGTAACTTGAAAATATAGAAATTTGGAATTTGGAAAGTTGGAATTTAGTAACTTGAAAATATAGAAATTTGGAATTTGGAAAGTTGAAATTTGAAAAGTTGGAATTTGGAATTTGGAATTTTGTAATTTTGGGGTTTTGAATTTTGGAAATTTGCAATTTTGGAATTATGGAAATTTGGAAATTTGAAAATTTGAAAATTTGGAATTATGGAAATTTGGAAATTTGAAAATTTGGAATTATGGAAATTTGGAAATTTGAAAATTTGGAATTTGGAAATATGGAAATTCAGAATTTAGAAATTAGGGAATTTAAAAGTTTCAACGTTTAGAAAATTGGAATATTATTTAATCGAGAAAATTATGGATTCTTAAATTTTACGATTTAAAAATTTAGAAACTGAGGAATGTGTAAAAAAAATTTTATAATTTGCGAATTTGAAAATTGTAAATTTTTAAATTTGAAAATATAAACTTAAGAAATTTTAAATATTTCTAATATGAAACATTAATAAAATTAAACTAATAAAGTACTGTTGATGTTTATTATTGTTCGTTGTTTGTGGTTCAATAAACTTTTTAATGATTCAAGTTCATGACTCATCTACACGCACTCAATTATCAGAGTCGTTTATTAATCAGTTTGCGTGATGAATCATTTTGTTGAAATAAGTAGCACGTCATAATCCCATTCATAATCTGTGACCGCGTCACTTTTAATCATAAAAATTATATTTTAATCTTTAAATAGATATCTTTAAACAGACCGTTAAACAGATATACTTTTATCTTTGAGAAACATTAGTATTTAAAAAAAATACACAACCGAAACTCTGTTAACATTCTGTTAATATTTTCAGAATTTTGACTAATCAAATTTTCTGTTGTTAATGCAAATTATATGAATTCATTAAAGACTTACATAAAATTAATAGAAGCAGAAATAGAAACAGATTAAAATTAATAGAAGTAATAAAATAAAAATATGTAATTCATTTATTTGTTTATAACGTGCTAATTAAGTTTCATTAAACGAAAAAAATTGTTTCAACATTTTCAGACGAAAGGTAATCACATATAATTAATTTCTAGTTTTTACCTGTACAAGTTCGATTTTTCGACAACTTGTAACCAGTTTTGCAAGAACACTGAGCGCCTTCCGGGGTTTTTCTGCAGTAATGTTCGCAGTGTGCACTTTGCTTGCAAGATGCATCAGCTGCAATTTGAAAAAGTTACAATTTAATCATCGTCGTCGGAACAAAAATTCCTATCACTCTATTTATCACTGTATCTAATTTGTTTTGTTAACATTTTTACTATAGTACAGTCACGTAAGAAATATCCCTATAGAGTCTCATTCATACACAAATATTTACTCGTACTTCTTCATTTATTAAATGCGTATCTTTTAACCAGTTAAGTGAGTTTAACGACTATATCCGTCATAGAGATGTGGCAGAATTTTGTGTCATGACGACTATATCCGTCAAGCTGTAAAATTTTATTACAATTTGATATTTAAATTGTAATTTTGGCGAAAACTAAATTATATTCGTAAATTGTGATATGTTTAAAATGTTTAGAGGTCAACATGAAATAAACAAATAAAAAGTGTAAATGATTTGAGATGGATTCATAAATTATTGAGAGCTAACTCGTCATCCCTTGATTATCGCGACAGACACTGGTGCGCGCTTTGCAAAAAGATCGCCACAGTTAACTGGTTAAAATTACATGAAAAAGAACTGATTGTACTGTTAACTAACTCATAAATATAAAAAATCTACGAAGAAGAAATCTCTAATGATTTTAGTAATATTTTTATTTTACAAGTACATACCCTTTTTACACCCTTCAACGTTTTCATCAGAATCATCTCCACAATCGTCCTTTCCGTTGCAAGTAGCGTTCAAAAAGATGCATCTTTTATTTTTGCATAAATAACGATCGATTTCGTTGTTGCATTTATGGAATGGTATTGTTTGATTTCCTATAAAAATAAATAGAATTATAAGTGAAAATTCAATTAGACAGTTAGACGAATGAATATTATTAAATTTACCGCAGTTTCCTTCGTCACTGCCGTCAGGACAATCTTTTACGCCATCGCAAACCCATTCGTTTCGTACGCAATAACCGTCATTGCATCGAAAAGCGTCGCACTTTAACTATAGTTAACAAGAAAATTGTTTCAGAGAAAATTAGGGTAAATTATTTTATATCTTAAGGAAGATACACAATATGGAACACAAAGAAATAAATTCAAAGAAAGAAAAAGTACAAAATCATACTTATATGTCTTTGACTTCTTAAAATCTTCATAAAAACTTTATCAAATGATACACTTATATAAAATCATTCCAGATTTACTTATATACAGTTACATACATAATCGATTAATAACAAATAATTAGTTATTATTTTATAAAAGATAATAATTTTTCAACTCCTTTCTTGATAAAATTTGTCGATTATGAATTAAAATATTTGGACAATTTTTTAAAATCAAATTTGGCGCATTCTGATTAAGATATCTTGTTTCTGTACTTTTTAAAAGTATAATATTAAATACTATTTTTACAAAGTATAATACAATAAAAAACATTTGTATAAAAGTTTAATAATATAATATTTAATAGCAATCGTAACGTGTCTTTGATTTTTGACATTATCAAAGTTTATTCGAATTGTTTAAAACCGTTTTGTGTAAGAAGATTATTTCGAGCACGGAACTTAAATTAAGTACACCTACTTAGAATCATTAATTATTTAAAAAATTATAGGATAGATAAGAGACGTATTGACGAATTCATAAACAATTGTAATATAAAGAGAACTCGTTTTATTTAAACAAGCAAGATAAATCAAATTATTTGTAAAATGGCCTAATATTTTGCAATCGTAATGCTGGATTGTAATATAAGCACGTAATCAAAAAAGAGCTTGATATATCACTTCTATTAACCAGAAAATTCGTAATTTTAATTTAAATTGAAAAATGCGGACAAAAATTAGTATAAAAAGAAAAAAGTAGATTAATGGTATATCACATTTGACGTAAACAGATTTGTATTATACAAAATTTTATATCGAAACAAGAACAGTATAATCTTGTTGCGAATAAATAATTTGAAATTTGCATTTGCACAAGAGGATTTAGATCTCGCGTTGATATAATTTTTGTTATAATTTCTGCACATATTTTTTTATTTCACAACCTTTTGAAAATAAATGATCACAACTGAAAATATCGTCAATTCCTAATAACTAACCTAAGAACATATGAGTATACGTATGTCACTTTAAATTATTAAAATAGAAGAATGTCGAATAAACAGAAAGTTGTAATTTATATAAAAAATGACTGCGACATTAACTAAAATTAAAATTTAATATACCGTAATAAATATCTTCAAAAAATTTGTGGTATTAAATATCTTAAACCTTTTTTTATTTGAAAAATAGATAAATAATTGTGAATGTTTTATATTTTTATACTCAATCTATTGTAAAACTTACAAAAGTATTAGTACTTGTGTTCTGATTCGTACATTCCCTAATTAAAGATTGCTTAGAAGATTTACAGTTCTGAAGAAAAATATGCTCCTTCCAACTAATTACGAGAAAAATTGTTGTCAAAAATTTCGAGAATAATAAACGAATTACGCTGCAAATACTGCAATGTCTTATGATTTGGCACAGCAAGAAGTATTCTATTTTTATAAATGAGAAGACGAGTGCAAATCTTTCTAAAATCATTTTTTAGAAAAACTTATTTTGTAAATAGTTTGTTCCAAAATTCATAGATGTAAATTAAACAATTTTTGGCTAAAATCGAGATTAGGTGTAAAAAATTGCATTTTACTATCTACAATAATGTTTCGACGCCATTTACCACGGATCTTTGTTTATTTTAATGTATATTTGCATTAGAAATATAAAATTTTGAACTAAACAAACTACAACGTAAGTAACAAATATCAAGTACATGTGAGCAAGATTCTTCATTTCATTTAAAATTTGTTAATTCCGTCATAATTTATTCCTAAAATGTAATCTTTGCGGTAAATATTAAAAATAAACATGCGTTTGAAGTAAGCCAGAAAAGAGCACAACTTATCGTAAACAATAAAAAAACATTTTATATCTATGCTCGATTTTAGTTAAAAGTTATTGAAGTATAACTGAAACTTTTTTAAACTGCTTTTTATGTATCAAATTCAAGGGCTTATTAAATCTTATTTTATAATTTATTAAAATTGTATAAATAAATATATACAGAGCACTTCTAAAGTCCAAAAAGGTTACAGACATAAGTTGTAGTATGTCAAGGAAGATATAAGATGGTGGTAACAATTTGACCTTGAATGATCATTTGAAGGTCACGTGAACATCTTCAATTTCTTAACCAGTTAAGTGTGTTTGACGACTATATCCGTCATGGAGATGTTGCAGAATTTTGTGTCATGACGACTATATCCGTCATGCGTAAAATTTTGTTACAATTTGATATTTAAATTGTAATTTTGGCGAAAACTAAATTATATTCGTAAATTGTAATATGTTTAAAATGTTTAGAGGTCAACACAAAATGAAATAAACTAATGAAAAGTGTAAATAATTTGAGATGGTTTCATAAATTCTTGAGAGCTAACTCGTCATCGCTTGATTATCGCGACACACACTGGTGCGCGCTTTGCAAAATGATCGCCATAGTTAACTGGTTAAATGGAACCCCTCATTTTTTATTACATATTGTAGCCCTGGAGATGTTCTCAAAACACTATGTTTGTTTTTTATGCAAGTCATCCCCAAGATATGAAGCTTTAAAGTTGACGCATAAGTGGCGTAAATCTGATCGTGCAACCTTCGCGCGATACACTTTGAGTAATGTGAATATCGGTGGTATATCAACTTTGAAACTTCATATCTTGGGAACGACATGTATAAAAAACAAACATAGCGTGTTAAAAACGTCTCGACGAGGACTATCAAAGTATGGAATAAAAAGTGGTTCTATTTAAAAAACTAGAGATGGCGTTCACGTGACTTTGAAACGACTATCCAAGGTCAAATTGATGTCACCATCTTACGTACCCCTTAACATCCTACCATTTTTGTTTGAAATTTTAATCTTAAAAAATATTGCCAAGCCAGAATCTGCTGCAATAATTACCATAGGTTTACTTTATTAATTTAATTTTAATAATCCGTATAATTTTAATGGATTGTAATTAGAAATTCAGAAAGGCAAGAATCTGAATATTAATATAATTTGTGATTGGAAAGCGTAATTTTTTATGTAATAACATAACAGAATTTTTTTTGAGTTAAATAGCAATATAAAATCCATTTCACCAAGCGAAAAAAATTTTTTTCTCGAAATTAGTTAAAAGGTGCATCTTATTGGTTAACGAAATAAACCCAAAAGCAGTGATTTTTTACCAACGCAAATAAGAGTTAAAAGAAAAGCGCTATAAAATTTTCCAAAATTCTTTTTCTAATTAAAATTTATTTTTTTATCTACATTCGATATCTTCAATTTTTCTACTACTTATGAGGAGTCTTCTAAAATGAAATGAAAAATAGATTTTAAAGTATTTATAACTGTCTAACGAACGTTATTGAATTCTCATTAAATTCGGCTCTTTCCAAAATTAAATCTCTAATGCGCCTCGGTATCGTTTAATTATCGAATCAGAAAACGAAACTATAAATTGCACTTTACCTCCTTTACACAGCCATCGTATTCATCACCTTTGTCAAAACAGTCGGGTTTGGCATCGCAAAATTTTTCGATCGGAATGCACACATTATCCGCACATCGAAACTCGTCTGCAGCGCATTGAATTGCAGTATGTGTAAACTAAAATAATTATATTTAGCTATTGATTGTGTGTTATATCTTCATCGTTAAATATATTGTTCAAAACAAAGAAGAAAAACATTTAAAAATTATAAAAAACACGAACTATGTTTCATCGATTGCTTAAATGTTTTATTAAATTTTATTAACGTATTCTATTCGGAAAAATAAAAAAGAATCAAATTTCTAAACTTTAACTCGAAAAATGTAAAAATTCCAAAGTTTCAAGATTAAAAACTTGAAAGACTCCAAAACCTTAGAATTTTAAAATACTCAAAACTCATAAAACTCAAAAACTTTGAAGTATATTACAAAACTGTAAAATACTCAATTTCTAAATTTTTCAAATTCAAAAATGTTAAAGCCTCAACATACTGAAATTGTAAATAGTTAAATAATGAAAATACCAAAAATTTAAAAATCTTAAAGTCTCAAAGCTCTAACTTTCGGAACTCATCTTTATTCTTGATCATAATCCCTCTCGAGCGCGGTTTAAAGATCTCTGATGCTACCAGTTAATATCTTTAATATTCAACACATTTTTATTACAGTCAAAAAAGTTCCATAACTTAAAAAAGTTCAAATTCACTACACTAGACATTTTAAACGATACATATATTATTACAAACATATATTGATAAAAATAATCACGTACTTTAAAGTCACGACAATCTAATTCATCGGACTCATCGCCACAGTCGTTCTCACCGTCGCATTTGAACACGACTGAAATGCATTTTTCGTTTTTGCACAAAAAATGATCTGGGGGCTCGCAGCGTATAGCTAAAAAAAAAATCAAACATGAGCACAATCAAGTCAAACGTTATTTCGAATTTTAAGTGAAAAGTAGGACTGACAACTTACCTGAAGAATGAACGTGTACGTAGAAAACATTCAGCACGGAGAACAGCAGTAAATAGCGGTACATAGTCTAGAAAAATTTATGTAATTGTTATATACACGATTGGGAATTGCGCGCGTGACGTCACAGCGTGCATTAGTCCCACGAGCAGACTGCGCGACGTGGCCACGAGCGGCATCGAAGACACTCGAGCCGCGTCGAGCGAAAACCGTGCGAAAGTCGAGTCGTCACTTGTCTGCCATGTTGTGGTATATACATATATATTGTAAACAACCCTGTTTCTGGCGCGTAGAAGGCTGGCCCAGGAGTCTGACTCCATGGAAGGGCTACTGCCCCAATTGGTCAGAGTAGAAAAATGGACGCCTACACTGGTTGGTGGTCACATTGGAGTGGTCAAGGTGGGGTAGGCGGCGCGGCTCTTGAAACTAAGTCAACATCCTACGCGCCAGAAACAGGGTTGTCTACGTACAGTGGACAACCGAGATTTAAACCTGTGGTCTCAAAGGTCAAAAAAGAAAAATGGTCACATAGATTTCTACGCACTTTCGGCGGTAAGAACTAGTGGCTCAAGCGATCATGTACATGAATAGAGTCAAGAATAGTCAGTAAACGTCAGAATATCATATTGGAACTGTTCAAGGTGGGTCAGAAAGTCCCCTAAACTAGAGTCAGTCTCCTACCGGTCTAAGTTTCGGGTCACTGTACGTATTGCTACACGCGTTGTTGCGTTAAAAGTTGCCTATTGCATTACGAAAGACTACAAGGGTAATTCTGTTCATCCAACCTGAGCAATATCCAATATTCATTCAGATTCTTCCAATAGTCATTAAATTCGCTCATAACAAAGTAACAAACTAATAACATTATTCGCTAGTTACTAAAATGATTAATTGGCTCTTAGCTTTCATTTTACGAGTACATATTACTTTACACATAACACCTTATTTGATTATTACTATTTCAAACTGATATATTAAAAACGATAGAATAAAATTTTTGTTCGTTCAATGTTAATAATATTTTGAATTTTTTTATTAGTGGAAAATATTTTGAATTACTAAAAATCTTTAATGCGTATTTTGTTACGTGGAAGCAATATTAAATTTTGTATATAAATATTATTGTCTGTTAATCATTAATACGCTTTTGATAATGCATGCCGTATTATCGTATTATAGGAGGAACAAATTATTTTATGAAAGCATTAAAATTTGCAAAATCACTTTTGAAAAAATATCGTTAATAAATTGTAAATACTTTCAAATTATAATTTGAGTATATATTCAACTCACTAGAAAAAGTTTAAATCAGAGACGTTGATGAATGAAGAAAATGAAGCAAACATACATAAAAGTAACTCGTAAACGAACATAAAAAAAATGTATTCATCTAACGAATTCTAAAAATAAAAATCGACGGTTCTTTTTACATAGAAATGTTCCTTTAGTTATTATATATTTATAAAATTACATTTTTAATAAATACGTTAGAGATATTTTCAATAAAGACTTAACAAAATTTTTGCGTAAATTCTTCCTTTCCAAGAAAAAATAGGATCTCAAATTAAAAGAAAGTAAAGAAATAAATTTGGTTAATAAACTTACGCTATGTATGAAGAGGTGAGAAATAGAATTTCTCTGTTTGAATTGCTCTAACAAGGACTCTACCGAAGTTGGATCCTTGTTACCACTACGACAGTTACCGAGACACTAAAGGTCGATACAGAGAGTGTACGGAAATTATAGAAGAAACTGTTTCTCTAGGTAGATATGTACATATCTATTCTAACGTATTAACTACGAATCAACGATTGCCGTTCGTTCAACGGAACAATACGATTTCGCAGGTCGTAGTTTACGATGGGTCACAAAGCACACAGAACTTTACTTTTCGTTTTCGTCCTCAATAGCCTACCACAAACGGGATTTTCCTGAAGGGTGGTCAGAAACACTTTGGTCCCCATATAGCGGTGTCCTGGTCATCGACTGTCAAGTTAGAAGAAAAAACGCGAATTTTTAAAGTCCTCACATTTGCATCGTTTTACCCTTTCCAAAGAGTAGTGCTCTAAGCCCGTATCAGAGGGTGATTATTAACAGACATGTTGATTGAAAAATTAATGCTACGGCCGTAAATTAGCATACTTCCTGAGACTTCCGGCCTTCCAAGTTTGGACAATAAACTTTGTAACTTTCTTTATTAGCATCAAGGAAGCGAACGTACAAAATAAATGAGGCAGTTAGTCCGAACTTTGACTGTATTTGGTCTTATGCGGACGACATTCAGTCTATTGTTTTAAAATTAACTCAGACTATTGTTTTAAAATTAAGTTTTTGCGGATCTGCTTATAGACAGCGCCATTCTAAAGTTCGTACATTTAACTGTGATGCAATTTTAATGAACATGTTCAGCAATGTCTGAATATACATAATACTGCATCGTATTAGTAATTAATAAACAAATATCCACTATTCTATTAGTCGCAAAAATAGAGTATATTTGTCTGTAACCATATATTATATTCCGTTCTCAATCGGGGACTTAAATTTTAAATGTTCCAGAATAAATTGGGTAGACAATACTGAAGAGTATGTTGGTTCCAAGTAAAATATTTTCTAATAAAATTTTATTATTTATTTTATGACCCCATTTTTAAGTAGACTTGCAGCCATATATATTTTTCATTTAGTCGTAAAAATTCATGCAATAGAGCGATAAAATATTAAATTGATTCTTAGGTACAATTGATTTTCAGTTAAAATTAGAAGTTCAAGCTTGAAGAAATTCGAACATTCAATTTTCTGGAGAACAGTGCTTCACAAAAGAAATCGCTACAAAGAATTAGTTAAGAAGAAATGATAAGTCCAAGAATTGATTCATAGTTATACATTACTTTATGATTATATCCCGTAGCCATATCAGTTATAATTTTTAATACCCGTAAATGTAAAAATTTCTTAATTATCGTACATTTCCACACGATACCACAACTTCTATATTAGTTCGTTATAAGAAATGTATACAAACTGTTGATTATTGTAATAAGTCACATTCTATTGTACGTTACTCACCGATTTAAATTTACTCGACCTTTCCAAAATTCAATGCAAACGAAGCAAAACAAGATTATTATAATGATCTTACCGTTTCATGCTTTGATCGCTGTTAAATTTTGTAACCTTTTCATTCATAAGTATTTAAAACATCTTACATGTATTCACTTTTTACTTCCTCCATTTTCTCGCTTCGAATCAATGACAAATTTTATGAACTAGAAAGATTTCCTTTTATATACTATTGAAAGTTTTACACAATATTGCTCGATAATTTCACTCTTTTTGTATTTTATAGAATAAATTATAAAATTTAAAGAATTGTGTATCATCTTTTATTAATAACGTATTAATGTTTTATTATATTATATAGAATTCAATTTTTCCCTAAGCAAGAATTCGAATTTTGTAGACGAATACTATAAACAAAAATATAAGAGTTTTTGGGGCTAATGTCCGCAGCGGACGGCGCCCATAATCTAAATAATCAATCAATCAAAACAGTTTATGAGTTAACCTAAAGAACGACACTACAATTTTAAGAAAGTTTGTTGTATGATAAACTTTTCTAGCAATTTATCATTTACAATAAATTGACAAGAATGCACAAAATATTTGCCGTGGGTGAATCTTCCAACGTTACAGGACTGGCAAAGAAGGTAACAAATGCCTATCAACTATATGACAGTGGTGTACTCCATCGCTGTTACGACGGCTTCCACTTTATTGTATTTCGTTCTTTCTTTCAAGTTACGGTCGTTCTTTTCGCATAAACATGCCGCGATGTTTGATCAAATCGATGACAAGATACAGAAAGAACAACAGTTCGACCGAAGGTAAGTTTTTACCTTAACCGAGCATAGGGTACAGTGTACGAAAAATCAACAGTGAAATGTTGACGTGGTTATGGAAAAAATAGTATGGTACAACATGCAACTTCGTTCAGTTATTGTTGAAAAGGTGAAATGTATTTTTGGCTTGAACATTGAAAATCTCATGACCAAATAGCTCAAAAATAATCCATAAACGAAACTGTTGTCTGATATGTGTTCGACTGTACAGAAAAATATTCATGCATATGATTTATACATGTACAGTGCGTCTTTTTCAAGTGTTTAGTTTTTAAACAATTTCTAACCTATACATTTTCCATTTAAAAACAATTTTCGTTTTAATAAAATAGCTGAAGACCGATTGAATTGATTATATTGGAAAGTTAATTGTTGGAGCTAATGATAAGATAAACTCATGTGCCCTGAATAAATAATATTGTACAGTTAACCGCCATATTTGTTAATTTATTATCCGCGAATTTATTTCGTGTCCCGTTGAGATTGTTCTAAGGGAGAAAAGAGATTCGGTATATTATAAATGTATATGGTATAAAATTTAATTAAACTTTATTCATGTATGTTACACACATATTATGTTCTACATATATAACGTTTGGGATTGTCTGCGGTTTCGCGTAACCGCGATAAATGTTACCCGCGGATTAGGAGACCCGACTTGTACGAGGTGTTTCATAACACGTAGTTCACTTCGGTGACAGACAGGGCGCAAACAATGAAAAAAGTTCCTACAAACACATGTGACATGTAATCTTGTTTTCCAATTACATTTTTGTGTTTTAGTAATTCACTGTCATTTGACTTTCGTTTTTTGAATAAGGTGAATTTATTTTCATGGTAAATTCAGTGAAAAATAAAAATTGGTTGTAAAAATGTTATCCGTTATTTATGCATAGCCCCTTATTACAATAGAAAAAGTTAATTTGAACTTATAACATCAATATTTTAGTGACAATGAATATTTTTAATTATTAGGGATTCATTTTAAACAAGAACAAAGCATATGAAAATAATTTTGTGTTTAACTTTAAATGGAGTATATTTTTTTCAAATCTTTACTCTCAACGCATTATTTAAAATATTAATATAAATTGAAATGTTTTAATCAATACAGATGTTTAAAAATCAGTACAAATGGTCATCTTATGTTGAACGAAATAATATTTTTATAGAATTAAATTTAACTTTCATTAGACACATTATTGACATTTTCTTGATTTATCTCTTTCTAATTTAATTCGGGGTAACGTTCTATCAAGAAATTGAATTAAATTAAATCGCCGAGTAAAATAAGTTGCTGTTAATATTTTTAAACACGTTTGAATACTTTTAAAAGATATTAAAGATATATTGAATATCGTACAGAAACGGATTCTCGGTTTATTATTAGCAAGTACTAAAATACGTATTCAGAAACATTATACGCATTGTTTTTACGTATTATATGCAGAGTCCGAATTACCATGGACTCCACCATCATCGGTTGACGCGAAACGAAAAAATCAAGCTAAAGAGAGTTCCTCAAAATGCAGCAATATTTGGACGTCGTCAAAGCTGCCAATCGTAACACGATACACATTCAACAAAGGAGCCAACATGTTGTGGAACAAGGAATTATTGGGAGATTTAGGAGGGATGCGTTTCTCCGTGTTAGAGAACGCTACATTATCGACTGGTGGTGATACCATGTTTAATAACGATCGAAAGACCGTGGGTCCAATTAATGAGCAAATGGTAGAGAAAATGCCATTGTCGTCGAGCATGACAAATCTAGAATACCCGGTGAACGTAGGAAACGACGAAATTAAAGTCGCAGTCAATTTGAATAGAACATTCGATGGGACTGATATGCAATCGACTTCGCAAGCGTTGTACCTGGCTTCGAACAAAAAGCAAATTGATTCTACACAAAGTCAGTATTTCAACAACCTAAATAAATCGAGTGTGGATAACGCTCAGAATTGGAAACGGAATAAAACTATGCATTATTGTCCATACTGTCGTAAAAGTTTCGACCGTCCGTGGGTACTGAAGGGTCATTTGCGTCTTCATACAGGCGAACGGCCTTTCTCGTGTCCAGTGTGTCACAAATCTTTTGCTGATCGGTATATATTATCTTTCCACTTTTGTCATGTTATTTCTCTAATTTCGAGTTATTATATATTTTTGTACGTTACATTCATATGCTATTAGAAATTTTCATCAAGAATTTTATGAGAGAAAGGGAACGGTGAGCTGGTCTCATGATCACGTGATCTGCATATAGTATGTTAACCCATTTACTGCCATAAACCATATCCTTAGAATTTACTGCTTTACGTGATAACGAAATTTTGTATAATGGAATCCCGTAAATTAAGAAATATTCCTTTCATAGTAATTCTCACTTCTTTTGTTCTTCATTTTAGTTTCGTTTCGATTTAATTTTTGTTTTTTGCATGGAAATTATTCAGGAAGGAAATTTCATGTGAGATTATGCAGTAGTACCTTCATATTTTATAAAATTTACTATATCCATGCTTATAGCAAAATTTAATTAAATTTATTGAAAGGTAATAACTTGTAGAATTACATAAAAGTTTAAAAGAAGAAAGAAAGTAGAAAATAATAATTGACAGTTAATGGGTTAATTTGTATATCTTTTGGTGAGCGTATCTTATCCGTTGTGTAATTTAGACATTTATTCTTAGACATTCTTCTTAATTACCAAGTCATAATACGAATAACGTATTTTGTAGATCAAATTTACGCGCTCATCAGAGGACACGAAATCACCACCAATGGCAATGGCGATGTGGCGAATGCTTCAAAGCATTTTCACAAAGACGATATTTAGAACGACATTGTCCCGAAGCATGTAGAAAATATAGAATATCTCAAAGAAGGGAACAACATTGTAGTTAATTTTCTACAGTATTTTTATACAGAAATCTGTAATATAATATATTAAATGTATTTCGTTTTCTTGTAATGTACGATTTGAATTTAAAATGTAACCGTTGTTGTAATACAATGCGATGTAATTTTAATATAACCTCTTCCTATTTATTACTTTCGTGGAACTCACGAAATTCTTAATAATTATTCGAGATAAATTTAAATTTGATCATTTGTTTAAAATTTCAATGCGACATTTCTTTATAACGTGAAAAAATATTTCTCATAAATCATGAATACAGTAAAGCATCAAAATATGATTTAGATAATTACTCAGTTTAAATGATGTTTTATTAAATATTAATTTGTTTGTATATTTCAATTTAAATTTCGAATTTACCTAAATTACAAATTATTTGTAAACTCGTCTTAAAATTTCGTCACGACATAAATGCCGTTGCTCATAGAGTGCGCGCAACGATGTAACGGTTTCTGATCTGAGTGCTTTTACTCTTTCGTGGCGCATGTCGTGTACGTTCAAAGAGGAATAATTATCGCTCGCATTTGACGCAGTGCGTTAGTCTCATATTACAAACGGAAAAGAACGTAATATAGTGCCGCGTAAATACGCGATACGCTTTCCGAGCAAGTAATCCGTGTTAGTGCTCCGTAAGAAAGAACGCGGCGGTTAAGCACTGCAAAGAAAAACTTGACATTGGAACGGCCATTTTGGCGTGTTATTTCCTAATCGAGTGCTCAGTTCAGCATCGATATCCATCCATTTCAAAGTAAGTAGCTTCGTAGTTGTGAAAACTTTTTTCAACGAATAATTTCTCCTTTGTGATATTTTTACTTTTCGTTATGTAAAGAGCATTTATCTGGACGAATTTTCGACTTGCATCATTGAAAGAAAAATTGAGTCGGCACAGATGGCTTTACTCTATGTTCAGTTTTTCATCGTGCTGGAGTATGTCTGATGGTATTTTGTACTACAGTGCCTTGAAATTGACTAGTGGTCGGGTTTTATTAGTATGTTGAATGTGTACCGTATGAACCATATGCGATTAACATTAATTAGAGATCGAGAAAATTCAGGTATTATCTCTAAATATAGATAATATTTGAAAATCTTGCGATTATATTGTCAACTTTCCAAATAAGCAAGTAACGCGTATTCCTTTTGTAAATATGTAACAAATTTTTGTTTAAACTTTACGTATTTTATGAACAATTTTGGAAAGTAAAGCTTTATTTCGGTTAAAAGTTATGTAAAGATTATGAAATATAGTGCAATCATTATAGTATACATTAATTATTGTATTAATTGAAATATATTATAATTATGATTAGAATATTAATTTTTCATTTGTAAATTTATGGCTTTATACAAGTCATAATACATAACATATTTAATTTTATAATGTATGTACATATTCTGAAATCAATATTTCTACAAATGTAATATATGTATAGTCCAAAATTCAAATTTTTTATGAAACAGTACAGGTAACTAATAACAAGAACCTTTAAACTTTCCTATAAGATTGAAATGTGTAAAAACCATTACTGTTCCAATAAGAATACGTATAATGTTTACATCCTATTGTGATCATTCCAATAGGTCACTCAATCTATTGTTGCCTTTTGTCCTATAAACACTTACCAGTTTCAGTTGAATCTTACATATAAGAATTCAAATTTCTAACTTTTCTTTCATATTCAGTAGCGCAACAAAATTATTATATTTGCTTTTTTTATTTGAATAATTATTTTTGAAATTTGCAAACATTAATTTCATTTATTAAATTCATATTTTATTTATATACAAAAACTTATTTTCAGGAAATAGATAATATTTCATCATTTCCAAAATGATGACAGAAACACACATAAATTCCAATCATGTTTTAAATTCTGGTTTGAATACCAAATCAGAAATAGACAAAATGGACGATGTAGGTTGGAAAGCCAAATTAAAAATTCCACCAAAGGACAAACGAATTAAAACTAGTGTAAGTTTTAGGTGGAAATTTTGTTTAATTTTGTATATGGAATTTGCTGTGACGTAAATTTTATTTCAAAAATAACATTTTTCTTATTAAAAATATGCATAATGCTATATAAATCATATGAGTTTTGTCATGTTATTAGTTCATCATTATTATTAATTGGGAATTAAAACAACTATGAAAATTTGTAGGATGTTACTGATACTCGTGGCAATGAATTCGAAGAGTTTTGCCTAAAACGAGAATTATTGATGGGCATCTTTGAGAAAGGCTGGGAAAAGCCTTCCCCAATTCAAGAAGCCAGCATTCCCATTGCATTGTCAGGTAAAGATATTCTGGCTCGTGCAAAAAATGGGACTGGCAAAACTGGGGCTTATTCAATTCCAGTGCTAGAACAGGTACATACATGAGTATTACACAAAGTGTTACTGTTAATATTAAATGTACACTCTTTTTAAATTCTTTCTTATTTTATTAAGTTTTTGCATTGTGGTATAATTTTCTTGCTATTTTAGGTTGATCCACGAAAAGATGTGATTCAGGCACTGGTTATTGTACCCACTAGAGAATTAGCTCTTCAAACATCACAAATTTGCATTGAACTGGCAAAACACATGGACATAAAAGTAATGGTAACTACTGGAGGAACAGACTTACGAGATGACATCATGAGGATTTACCAAAAAGGTTTGTGCTAAATGTATGTTTTTGCATAAGGACTAATTATAAAAGCAGTGTCAAAAACAACTCACCTGTGATGTAATTTGTTTCTAGTGCAAGTAATAATAGCAACGCCAGGAAGAATTCTTGACCTCATGGATAAGAATGTTGCTAATATGGATCATTGTAAAATTCTAGTTTTGGACGAAGCAGATAAGCTTCTGTCACAAGATTTTAAAGGAATGTTGGATCATGTCATTTCTAGGTATGTAATAAAAATTATTAATTATAAAATTTCATATTTCATCATTTTGTTGTTTTTAATGCATTACATTTAAATTTAGATTACCACATGAACGTCAGATACTGCTGTATTCAGCCACATTTCCTCTGACAGTAAAACAGTTTATGGAGAAACACTTAAGAGATCCATACGAGATTAATTTAATGGAGGAACTCACATTGAAAGGTGTAACACAGTATTATGCCTTTGTACAAGAACGACAAAAAGTTCATTGTCTTAACACACTGTTCTCCAAGGTAACTTTCCGTATTCCAAGGTGTATATGCTTCGTTTTAAGTACTATTGTTTGATTATCTCATTTATGTTTTATTGTTCCAGTTGCAAATAACACAAAGTATAATATTCTGCAATTCAACGCAACGTGTTGAATTACTCGCGAAAAAAATAACGGATCTTGGATACTGCTGTTATTATATACACGCGAAAATGGCGCAGGCACACCGAAATCGCGTGTTTCATGATTTTCGAGCAGGATTATGCAGAAACTTGGTAAGTGTGAACTTATATTATATTTGTTTTATTTGGTTGTTTCATATCATTTAGTTATCGATATACGTATTTTATATATCTACAGGTGAGCAGTGATTTGTTTACTCGTGGTATTGACGTACAAGCAGTGAACGTCGTAATCAATTTTGACTTTCCAAAAATGGCAGAGACATATTTGCATCGTATTGGCCGATCAGGACGATTCGGTCACTTAGGTATAGCAATTAACCTAATCACATACGAAGATCGTTTTAACTTACATCGTATCGAACAAGAGCTTGGAACAGAAATTAAACCTATTCCAAAGGTAATAGATCCAAGTTTGTACGTAGCAAGACCAGAAGACAACAATAGTATGGAAGAGGGTAATGTGTCCAAGTAGTTTCGATACATCATCATGATGTTTTACATGCGCTCAAAGAGTTTAAAGTGTAAAATGGTGATTGTGTGGCTCGTACATAAAAGGCATACATTGCTATGCTTTGAACTCACAGAGTGAAACGTTATTTCAGTCTGAAAAGTATTGTCTGGTGTGTTTAATGGTGTATAAAGACGAAACAGTGCTATGAACATTTAGATAAAAAAAAGTGGTCTATTATAGAAAAAAATTGAAAATTTCAATTAAGATCATAGTAAAACAGCGAAAACTTGAATTACTTGTAAATAAGGCATACTGAGCATGGAAACAGTGAACTCAGTGAATGAAGTGATGCGAATGCCGGTGCGAGTCATTCTTTGTACATAAATACATATAAATGTACATAATCTAAAGTGCGCGTCAGAGTCAAGCCATAATCAAGAGCACAATATGTAAACAAGTACATGAGTAACATAATAATCATTACATTTTACCACAATTGTAAATATTACATGAGAGTATCCATCATTTTAATAGTAAATTTTTATACAATGGCTTCATACTTCTAAGATTTTTTTTCTTTCTTTTGTTCTTTAACGGAAAAACAAGGTGGCACGTGTGATTGAAACAAAAAAGAATAACAGTCATAGCGAAAGTAAATTGGTACTTGAATTATTTATGAGTAACTATGAACTAATCCACGTGCTTATTACTTTTGCATCACCATATTCCGCGTATAAATTCTCTTTAAATATACAATCACAAATTCTAAATATTGTATCGGTCTTAACATTTGATCATGGCTTGATTTTGCTACCTGTCAATGCTGTCGTACAACTCTGAAATTCAACTCACTTTTCAACAAAAAATGCAAGATTTTTTTCTTTCTGTAAAATGGTAATAGAGACTTTTTTTTTAACTTAATCTGATTTTTTCTTTTTCTTTATTTTTTCTTTTCCTTTACGAAATTGTGATTGAGCGTCAGAGGTTGTAAAATTGACTAGTTTTATATAATTATTTTTTATAAATAACTGGCTGGTGGCATTTGTGAACAGCAGGGATTCAATGTATGATTTCTATTAAATACTTGTGTGTCTGTTGTGCTTCAAAATTAATACATCAATTAACTTGCGAGTAATGAAATTATCTAGCGTAGATTGTTCATTACTCTCAAGACACATTTTCAGTAAAATCTATAGAACTAAATAAAAAGTACACAATACTAGTACATCATTTTTTTTTCAACAGAGAAACAACTGCCAAACTTTAATGGAATTATCATCGTTGAATCTCTTTTTATTCTAAGTTTTTCTCTCTTTAATAACCGTGTACGAAAAAGAGCAAGAACACGAAAGCGTGTAAGTAGTTTTCTGTATAAATTTTGATCATTGATTATTCTCCCGTGAACAAAAAGTACACCACCAGCCAAGACGACCTAGGTTTATGGAACGAAGTGCGTATACATTAATAGCCAATAGTAGAATATTTCATATTCGAAGGAAAAAAACAAATTCGATAAGAGATATTAATAAAAGTGATGAAAAGCGGTTTAAAATGCTTTTAAACTTATAATATCAGTTTTGACGGATATTTTGCTTCATAGATGGAGACAACAGGAGATATGTCTTATGACGAAAAATAAAAACAAACTTGACTGTTAGAACAGAAAGTGTGAGCACTTGAGATTCCAACATAACATGAATTGAACTAATCATGATCTCGAATGTCCATGTAAGTAATTGGTGGACCCTTTTATACGTGTACATTTGCAAAAGAAAAGCGAAATGTTAAGTTTTGAAACTAAGATAGTTCCATGTGATGTTAGGTATACACATTTAACTACTTACAAAATCAATTGACTTCTAATTTATTACTTCGTATACAAGACACACATTTAATACAATCACAAGGAATAATATTTAAAGTCATACAAACGTTAGGAGAGTTCTACGTATTGACTTGTATGCATATCAGTGATAAAACGAGAAATTCTGATGCATCCTTTGCACAAATATTTGATTATTCTATTCCAATAAATGATATGCAATGAAATTATTAATTAAATGACTTCATGAAACTCTCTCTTGTGTCGCTATCTGAGCATTAATGCTGTGATTTAGTATTATATGGTATTAAAAGCATTAGAAACCGTTTTTTTTCTCTGGTAACACAAATTATCATTTGATACCATACGAGGTTTCAACATTGAAAATGTCTCTCTGTAAACATACACACATAAATGTAAACGTATAAACAGTGTGAGAAGACATTGATCAGTCGATTTGCACTTTTTTTGCCAGTTTGAAAATGAATGTGATTTGAGAATTCTTTAATATTAGGGAATCTCAGAACAGTTGATTATAACAAAAGCACTTGTCGTATTGTTGCAAGAATCAGGCATGATGCTTGGAACGATAAGAGAAAGCCAATTAATGATAGGAGGATCGATGTGCAAAACATTCTCTTTCACGTTGGAATATAGATTCCAAGGTGGAAGGAAAACAAAAAAAAAAGATAATAGTTACAAAAAATTGGCAGTGATCTATCGAAATAATAATTACGTAAGCGTTGTATTTATAACAGTTTAGAGAAACACTTAACAGAGTGTTTTCTTTGTGGCTCTATCTTTTTACCAACTATTAACTCTTTTTTTTGCTCGTATGCGATGTTACTCGGCAGAAAATAAATTTTCACCGATCCGACGGTATTTCGTTAAGTAAAATCGCATATGAATTCCGTTCCAATATAACAGTATAATCTCTTTTTTTTCTCTCTCTCTATCTCGTATTTTATCATTTCCTTAACGTGGGAACATTATAATTCAATAAGCAAGATGCACAGTATTTTGGATGTCAGTTCTAAAAGCATACTGAAAACAAAGGAAATACTTCACCTTTATATTCATTGCAAAACTTTACCTTTGTGTTATATATATATATGTATGTATACGTATGTGTATATGTATACGTATGTATGTATATGTATACATATGTATGTATATGCGTGTTTGTGGAAGTTTGTTACGGTACTTTTGGCGAAGTTGTACAGTTTAGGAAAAGTAATGTTCTCTCGGTCTTATCGAATGATTAATTTAAAACACCATTAGATATCCGACACGGAATCTATTTTGTGAGGTATATATTTTAAATCAATCTTTTAAACGAGTCAAGAACGTGTCAATGAAAATGAACACACACAAAAAGCATTCGAATCGATTCTCACACACGCTGCATGAAGTTGTGCCTAATAATTTAATGTAGCTGTTAAACACGCGTGTATTTGTTCATACGTCACTTTTTACAACCGATACGAATCATTTTCGCGAGAAACGTCATTGAATGATTTTACATTTCATGTCGTGAACATTGCGATGATCAATAAGTCGATATCGTATTTATCTTGACTCTTTTGAAAGACTGATTTCTGCGTGAAATAAATCTGTAGTAGATTTTGGGTGATAAAATAAAAAGAATACATTGCTAAGTGCAATGCTATGCGTATAGACTGAAGGAAAAAATAACAAAATCCGTTGCGTTTTGTTCGTTGAAACTCGTGAGTAATTTTAACTTCAAAGTTATATCATTCTCTGTGTTATACATGGAATCTGAGTCGTCGCGAAATCTTGGAATTCGTATACATAAATAGTTATTTTAAAATTTCTTCTGAAATAATCTGAGACCTTTATTTACACGATCAAAGGAATTTTGTTCTTTAATTGTTAATAATAGTTTCCTTATGTCTGTCGCATAGACACGATTTCCAAGTGAAGTTCCTGCACCTCGTCTTGGAGAGTGAAAGTAGCCTTTGATGCGGAAATCATTTGCGTGGGCACTTTTTTATTAATAGAAAAGTGTCATGTTGGAAACGAGATGGTAACATCTGGATTTAGGATATGTTAAAAACGAACCCTTACGAACATCAGAGAGGGTTTTAAACGAAGTACGAGAAAATTCGTACAAGTAGTGAAGGTCATAACATCTTTGCAAAACTGTCAAATGTTACATCAACAACAGTTTTCTGCCTTCACCGTAATTCGCATTAGTATAAATCTAATGCAACGAGCTGCACTCTTTAAACTTTTTCTTTTAGAGTCTTTAAAGTAACGCGTTTGATGACGAAAAATTGATTGGCTTCGAAACAATGTCAAAGAAAAATAATTTTTATTCTTCTAGCAGCTCGTTTATTGATATTGGAACAAGATCTCCAATAATCTATGAAAAATGTATTAAAAAAGAAAAAAAAAACAAAAAAAAATTAAAAAAAAAATCGTTAAAACAGAAAAAGTACCGTCAATGTTCGATCTTATGAGGATTATTGTAATTCGTTAGCAAAAAATTATTTCACTGAATATTCTATGATGACGGTACATTCGATACACATACACAAATGCAGCTTATTTCCGTGTTTGCGAATAATGCGAGACATTTTTTTGTGACATGTCCGAACAGAAAACGATTTATTCACTGACATAAAAAAACCATTGGAACGAAAATCTTCGCAAGTGTTGTAAATGCAGGTCGCACATTACTGTGCAGTTGTTTTTTAAATGTTTCACACGCGAGTGCGCTTCAAGATGTTGTGATTACCAAAGCAATAGAAAAATTAAAGAACATCTACATGGTATTGTTCGACTTGCATGAAAGAGAAAAATGAAAATTCACAATAGGCGATGAAACAAAAAGACGTATGATTTCTGCGCGATTCGTATGTATTTGTCGAATGATTTTTTTGTATTTGAAGGTATTTTAAAGCATTTCTGTAACCGAAATTCCCTTGCTATTTGCGTTGTTATGCGAGAACAACGATCGAAAAATTCTCTGTTATTCCTCGAACATAAAATGTTTATTTGTCAATTGTCAAAATAGGTTTGTGCCCAGATTACGAGAAGAACCTTTTTTATTTGTTTTTTTGATTTCTACGAAGCACAGACTCAATCTGGTGAAAAGCAAAAAAAGAAAAGAAACGCATGTCAATGGATTTGTTTTCAAAAGGAACAAAATAGCAAAGCAAATTTGGTCCTTAATAAAATTTCCGGTTCATTATATGTGGTATATTTGTTGTCCATCTGTCCTATTCAACGTGTACCGTGCTAAATTAATTTTTGTTCAATTATAATACTTGATTAGCAATATTACATTAGGTTTATTGTGCTTTTGTTTTAAATATTTTGCTATTTTATTTTAACGTATTATCGAAAAATATTCGTTCTTGTGAAGGAAATGAACGACTTTCGAAGTATCGGTTGGCTTCAAGTTTTGTTATGAAATCTCAAAAGTAATAATTTTGCAAAATTACAGCGGGTATGTTTCTAAAATAAAAAAGAAATTCACATAGGTGTTCTTACTATTTAATTAACTGTTTCAATTGTATCTGTTTAACGTAGAATTCGTTATAGTTTAAATGGTAAGATATTTATAATGTAATTTTGCAATATGGATTCCTTTTATGTGGCTCTTTGAGCGAGTTCACCTTCACAGGAACTTTTATGGACATTAGTAGCGCTTTTTAACGTAGTATACAGAGATTTTAAACTTAGAAATTTTCGAATTTAAAAATTTTTGACATTTTATTTCGAATTTAAAAATTTAGACGCTTCTATTAAGAATTTAAAAATTAAGTCTTTGAAATTTAAAAGTCTAAGAATTAAAAAATTAAAAAATTGGAAATATATGAAATTTAGGAATTTAGGAATTTAGAAATTTAGAAATTTAGAAATTTAGAAATTTAGAAATTTAGAAATTTAGAAATCTAAATGTATAGAAATTTAGGAATTTAGAATTTAGAATTTAGAATTTAGAATTTAGAAATGTAAAATACAGAAATTTAGAAATTTAGCAATCTGGAATTCTGAAAATTTAGAGATTTGAAATTTTTAAATTTAGAGAAATTTTAATTTAGAAATTCTTAATTTTCAAATAAACTTTCCCATTACTAGATATAAAATTTCCCATTACTAGATATAAAAATTGTGTGAATGTACAAATTAGGTTTTCAAATTTAAAAAATTTCAAATTTTCTACAATTTTAAATTGCTTCATGTAATTAAGAATTATATGACCTTTTATAACTGCAACCTCTTTGAGGGTCATATAATGAGTCGACTAAAGTAGTTATACCAAATTAAGTATTAATGGTTTTACACACTTATATGGCACTACTAATATTTTTTCATTATATTCAATTTTATATTATTAAATTCGAACAATTAGTTAAACCATAAAAATATTTGGACGCGAATTTTTTTTTCAAAAACGTATATGCTATGATTTTGTAAAATTATTACTTGCAGTCCCCTATAACCCCACAAAATTTGACCCGTATCAATGTCTGGAAAGTTACACACTCCCTTTGTTAGTTAATTGAATTTGCGATCTTAATGAACACTGAGGGTTACATATGACCCATAGTGCATAGCACGTTTTAATATTAAAATAAGCTCAAAATCAAAATCTGTGTTTGATGCAGAAATTGTTATGTAAATTGCTTTATTCAAATGTAGAATACGTTAACGTACCATTATAAATAATTCAAGTAAACAATTTATCCGGTGAATTTGAAGGTGGATTATATTAAATCAGTTGGTAAAGTAAATTAGTTCATAATATATACTTCCGTTTCTATTTAATTCATTTAGCAACGAAATTGAAATTATTTCGTTAGAGAAAAGGTAATGAAGAAACTAATTAAATATTGTTGAATATTTGAACAGTGAATTTGCAGAGTGATTAAAATTCGTCGGCGCAACAGGATGTAAGTCGGAACTATAAAATAAATTTTCATTAAAACTGTTTTGAATCTCATCGAGTATTATCGGACGTACTATGGAATATTCGTAGTCGATCTTTTCAACATAGATCGAAAGAAAGTCTCTTTTACAATTTATTATAATTATAATCAACTGTTTTTTATTTGTTTTAAAATCCAAATTTTTTGTGTCTGCGAAAACAAATGGAGTATTTTATATAGCGGTGTAAAGAAGTTTTCGGTTTTTATTTTATAATAAATAAATGATATTTCGGTTTGTGTTTAACCAGTTAACTGTGGCGATCTTTTTGCAAAGCGCGCACCAGTGTGTGTCGCGATAATCAAGCGATGATGAGTTAGCTCTCAAGAATTTATGAATCCATCTCAAATCATTTACACTTTTTATTTGTTTATTTCATTTCGTGTTGACCTCTAAACATTTTAAACATATTACAATTTACGAATATAATTTAGTTTTCGCCAAAATTACAATTTCCATCTCAAATCATTTACACT